CTGAGTGCAGCGTTAAACAACAAACCAACCAACCAACCAGATTCCACGCTTTATATCACTTGCATTTGCTTTAAACAAAATGGTGCTACCCAGTCAAATCTGATTGATTTTCAAAATCTATGTTGGGATAAAATGGGTCTTACTTCACGAGGTACATCAAATCATTTGAGCACCTTGATTAAAAACATGAAAAGATTTGGGAAATATCTGTTGACGCTGAGTTGGTAGTACACATGCTTTGCAAATTCGGCTATTAACTGAAAATCTGCAAGGCAGTTTACAAACCGCATGTTGATTCGTCACACGATTTTGATGGATGCACAGACTTGTTTGTCCAGCCAAGATATGACTTCATTATAAATTCCATCCTAGTTCGGCAAGGGTGGAAACTTGGTCTTTTATAGTCAGTTAACTCCCTTCCCATGGGAAGATGTACATTATTGGGTGTTTTATGAGTTAACAAGCCAATATATTGTTCCACTTTGAACCTTCTTATTAACAATTCTGTAAAGGAATATCTCGACATTTCACCACGCTGATATCAGATTCAGATCAGACTGCCATTGTTTCTTACTTCTTTTTTATTCTAAGTTCTTGAACACAAAACACAAATTAAATCCGTAAATACATATTTACATTATTTACAAAATAAGGAAGGAGAATCAATATTCAGTGGAATACACTCTGAAATTGTAGTATGAATTTATGATGCGATGACATAAAACAGTTTCAAAACCAAACCAGACATACAACTCAATAGACCCAGGTAAATCCCTCTTTAAATCTACAAAAGTAATGGTGATTACCGTCATTACCTACTTTATCAGCATTTCCTAGAATGATGGAATTTCAAGCCATCTCTTCGTGATTAAGGAGGCCAGATATTGTGACTCATCAGCATGATCATTAAGCCTCTAGAAATACATGTACACTATATTTGACGCTAGGACAAGAAAAACAATTGATTATCTGCCTTCAACATAAGCAAGATGTCACAATGATAAATAAAAAAGAATTCCTCTGATCTGGTATCTAATACAGTTATTAAACATGTTAAACAACTGTCCAAACAAAATAAAAAAAATAAAAATTTCTTTACAAATCCGGCTCCTAAAATTTTTAAAAATAAAAAATTTAAAGCAGCAGGTTATTCCTCCGACCAGAGGTAATCGCAAAAACTCACTTCCTGCCACTATCAATATAAATAAATTATTTAAATGACTTTAGCTAAAACATGTAAAACATGTTGAAAATTTATCTTCAAAACTCATGGCCCCTATCTATTTTCTTAAAGGGCAAGTTCACACGGAAATGAACCTATTTTTCTTGTACTTTTTCCACATTAAAAGTGTTAACATAGAAGTGTCATAGACAAAAATATAAAAACATCATATTTAATTAACATATTTTTTGCATTAAAACGATTTATATTTTTCACATTAACCAAGTGTTCTATTTCCATAACAAAAACACCATGGCTTATGCCCCTTGCAATATGACGTCATTGGTGCCAATTGATAAACATTATGACGTCATCATGCTTTGTTAGAGCCGCTTCACGTGGTGTAGGTACAGTTTTGTGATTCTAGCGTCTCAGATGCCAGCCATAATTGTGTTATGCTGACTCATCACAGCGCCGGAGTGTGTCGTAGACCATGTTGTTTTACCGCAAACTGGTCCTTGATATCTTTTGCGTTGAGAATGGACAGGGACCCAGTTGAATTGGCACCAATTACGTCATAATCTAAGGGGGATAACTCAGGCCTATTTCGCTCGTAAAACGAAGGCCTCATAACGGCATATTATTTTAACACTATTGTGAACTTCCTACTTTCACTGTGAAAAAAAATGAGTGTATATTTTCAAACACAGATACTAACTAATTCTAAAATTGCGTTTTGTTTAGAAAAAGAAAGAAAGTGATTTTTGCGTGTACACTTCCCCTTTAAATAAAAATTTCTACCCACCTGACATTTGAGGAAATATTAATAAATAAATGTTTTTTCAACCTACTGACCTCAAGTCTTGGCCTGAAGGTACATCGCACTGAGTCAACATAATGTTACTTTAGTGCACCCTACCTTACATACATAGCTATCAGAGTTATTGCTGTTTCCCTGTAGTAACAAAAATCTGTTTTCAAATTTCCAAGACAAAAAATCTACATGATCAAAAACACTGTAGATAGGCTACCATAACATGATAACGCAAGAAGAGATTAAGTGGAATACAAAAGAAATCTCTCAACATTAACTGATTCATATTTCAATAACATTTTACCCCTATCAGTTTAAACAAATTACACATGTCAAGAGGTTGTATACAACTCAGGGAAGCATGAAGCATTCAACCTACAAATATTCTGATCACTAAGCCACAATCACATATGTAGCACTTTTATCAATCCTTCTATCAACATGCCGACTGACAATGAGACAGGGTAGAGAATAAATGATTTATTTGAGCAATGTTCAACTCCGAGCAAACATTTCTTCAAACACTGATTCAAGAAAGTGAAAGTGCACACCTCTCTATGCAAACTCACTTCGCACCAATTTTGTCTAAGCAAACAATTTGAAATTGACAGGGATCTATTTGAAATTGACATGGGATAATTGAAAGCAACATCACATGACATTTAATAGAGAGGTGTACCAACAGCGTCATTGACTGGTGAACACGGAAAAGGACAACCTCATACAGATCAGCTGTAATCCAGACTTGCTCAAGCATGTCATTTGTAATAAAGCCAGGCTTCAATTTCTTCGGATCATGCAGTCTATCCCAACCCTGCCATACATTGATACATACATGTCAGTCAATATGTCCGCATTTGGAGTTTCTGGACAGATAACACATTCTATCTGTACAGATATATGGAAAGATTATGACCAGATGACAGGCTTCAAATCTAATTTATTGCAGTGATATATATTCAGTGTGTCAGGCAGCTATCACTGTCTTGTCTGTAATAAATTAGTTGAGTTAAATTTTTAGGAAAGAAGAAAATGTGATAAGGCAAAGGCAACACTTAATTCATCATGTTCATTCACCTCATGGACAGATATCACTTGCCATTAACTTTTCCAAAACTAAGGAAAACATTCTGTAAATATAGAGAGTAATGTAGTCTTCAAACCTGAGTTTGGACAATTTCAAAACTACAAAACTTCCCTTGTGAGGCACTGTTAAAGCACCGACTTCAGGTTCAGTGTACAAATTATTATAATGATTGTCATTGTTTAAAATTAAACATGAAAATGAAGGTGTCCTGTGGGGCATGATTTAGCTGTATAAAACATGCACAATGGCTACCTATTATTGAAACATGCTACCCAATATTTATGTCGACATCAACCAAGTGCATGTATTCTTTTGTCTGACTTGCCTTACTTGTCCACACAAAATCTTTCTTTGAACATACCTCATCATACATCACTAATCCCTGTGTTACGTGTAATTTGTCATGCTTTCTTAGGTGTGACATCATCAAATTGTGGGTACTTCAAGATTATGTCCACATGTTCCTATTACGTTTAACAGCAATGTCTTACTAATTTATGTGACACTGGCAGCAGACAGCCCTATGTTTCAACTTTGATACATTTGTGGTGTCAGGGTACAACCTAGTTTTGTTTGGTGCAATTGGTAGAGACATCGGACATGCCTGTGATAATCATGATAAGTTACATAAGGATTTGATCATGTTGAAATATTTTTAAAATTTTAAAGCATAATCTGGTCAGCATGGTCAGTCTGGAAATATTTACATATATTGTGATACTCAATATGTCTAAACCAAAATTTCCAATCCATGACATCCCCATTTCTTGGTCACAGTACTTATGACATTCATGGATTTTTTTAAGCCATGTAGTGTCTACCTGATTGATGGATTGTGAAGAGCCATGGGGCCATGGGCACTAGTCATAAATTAGTGCTTATTAACCTAGTGATGAGCACATTTGTGATTATGCATTTTACACACTTTTTTCCGGTAAAACTGCATACAAATTGTACAGATTTACTTTGGATTATAATGGACTTTTGTAGTTGTTCAGCTGTTGTTTAATGCAGTAATATTCCAGCTGTATCATGTATGACAACAGTCATCAAATAATTGAGACCAGACAAGACAATCCAGTGATTCACATCATGAGCATCAATCTACGCAACTGTGATACAATGACATGCATCAATCAAGTCAATGATTCTGACCACCCAATCACGTTAGTCGCATCTTACAACAAGCATGGGTTGCTGAAGGCCAATTCAAACCGGGATCTACATGGGTCTCCAGTGGACTAATTCATTACTCTCACATCTTTGATGAATTTACAATGGGCTCGAAGAAGCCTTTGTTCATAAAAAGGTGTTTGATCGGCAAGGGGTGCCAAACCTAACGATCATGAAGGATGTTTGATTGGAAAGGGGATTCATCGGATAAAGATAGAGTTGAGGGTAAAAACCCTAACACAACTATAGGCTATAACCCTAAAGATGAAACAGGCACACAAGATCAGTGAAGTGAAAGCAAGAGCCAATTAGCACTATACAGCTGCACAAGGTAAACTGCACCATTGCCGTCAAGTGTGTACATGGTGTATGATTAAATAGCAAAGGAATGTATTTGCAACATCTCTGTCAGTGACAATAATATCCTTGTAGCCTATTTTTTTATTTTAAAAAAACACTCACATGAACCTACAGAATAACCAGGACATTTACTGACCTAGAATCTATGGGTGTAAAATATAAACGAGGATAAAGTTTCTGACACTAACTTAAAATGTGATTGGATTGCTAGAAACTGTAAAACAAAAATCAGTAGCGGTGAAACTGTTACCAGCTGGTTACAGCAACGGGAACATAATAAATTGCATGATCAGACCTGTGATTCAGTGTCAATAAAATATACATTGCTTGCGATCACTCATCAAACATGACTACATTTGAATCAAGTGCCATACAGAGAATGAATGGTGTTGTATCAAACTTACTTTGGCATTAGATTCATCCATTGTGGAACGTTATCACACCAAATGGTGAACTTGTAAATAACCATGCACAGAAAATCATGTAAACATCGAGCTGACAGCATCCGGGCGACGGTCTTACCGCTTAAAATGTAAACATTCATTTGATTGGTTGGAGGCTAAAATGATTGTGAGGCTGGTATTGATTGGTCAAAATTCCAAGCAATCGATTTTTTTGTTGTGTATGTACAGAAATATAAATCCTATAACATCATACAATAAATACAACGTATAAATAAAGAACCATTACGTGCGCTTTAAAAGCAAATCGTTGTTTATTAGCCAAAATGAGGAAAATGTCCCATGAAAATCAAACTCGGTTAGACATGCGCAGACAGATGGCAGCGGAAATTTTCCACTTCCGTTTGAGGCCGTGAAGATTTTGTGGCCTCAAAATTCATTTTAACCTAATTGTTTTGAAATTTTAGAATGGCTGCATTGTTTTCCTGTACGAAATGTCATAGTAGACACCCATTTGAAGAGTTATCTCAAGGCGAACAGTTATGCAAAGTGAGTTCGATACCCCATCCCTCAAAGTAAAACACTCTTCCACTTGTCAAACAACACAAACAATGTTTAAATGTACATTTACATCATGTGGTGATTTTAAAAAAAGGGGACAAAGGTTATCTACGTCTAAGAATCTAGAATATTTTTACATGTACTTCTGTCACTGACTCCATGTCTTATAGTTTCTGTAGTTAAATTGAAATTTAACGAAGCATGCTAAGAAAGCAGATTATGGAATAACAATCATGTCAATATTTCTACCTTAAATATGACAACAAATCTGAACACGTTTCATTTACCAAAGAAAGATCATATTATCCAAACCTAATTCAGTGAGAAGATCCTGAGGTTCAAACCTTTGGGTGTGCTATAGAATGGAGATAATAATACAATGAATAGCAGGGTTAGAAACTAACAGTTTTCGTCCACTAGTCCTTATAATGATAACATATAGCAAAACCCTTAAAAAGGGCAAATTTCTACTAGTCCTTATGATACCTTTACCATTTGGCAGTTGGGCAAGGACTATAGGACTAGTGCCAATTTCTAACGCTGAATAGTTAAAATGGGTGATCCCTTGACTCTAAAATACTGATTTGTCATATTTCCAATGAGGAGTAATTTTTGACAATCAATAGTGAGCTTAACTGAAGTGTGCATGTTTAAAATAATGGTATCCATGGTAGCTTTGTACTTTATTTTCAGTTAGAGATGGTTACAATACCAAATTGTTCATTCACTTCCAATATTTGATAAAAATTAGTAATAACATATGATTCTTGTTTCAGGACTGTCGAAATAATTATCCTATAGTCAAGTGCACATATTGTCGAGCAGAATTCCAGCAAGTAAAGTAAGTAACATGATTAATTCATATTTCCATTGTTTGATCAACAATCATAATGTCTCCTCGCACACGAAACAATTCTATGTTGTGACAACGTTGACTTTTCGTTGCTACAACGTTGTGATGTAACGTTGTCACAACGTAAATCTGTAGACTCCCAGATTGGTTGCTACAACGTTGTGCATAAACCAAAATACAACCAAATCAAGACGTTGTCACAACATCCATTTTTTACGTTGCTACAACGTTTATCCAAAACGTCGCGACAACGTAGGTATCGCATATGGCGACACTACAGACATTGCAGCACGTTGTTGCAATGTCCATGTAGATTAATGCCTGTCTTATTCCTCAATACCTCCCAGGCAGCCTGAAAAGTTTGTACCAATCTAGTTAAGACATCAGGTACCAATCTAGTTAAGACATCAGGTACCAAGCAATACATTCTGCAAACTGAATTCACTTTAACCCTATCCATGAAACAGCAAGTCAATGAAATGCACTCTCTTTTGGCAGAGTTTGAAATACGGCCAAGATAAAAATCTAAATGTTTTAAATTACATGTACAATTTGGTTATATAATATTTATTTTCCCAAACAGTTTTCAAGGCTATTTGCAAATTGTTCACAAATGTTTCAACACAATTAAAAGATATTTGATTTTCCCACGAATTTGCAAATTAAAAACCATCAAACAATAAGCCCTGCACAAATTGAAACATTTAAATTTTCTTGGCCTTACCCCATACATTCAGCATTGAGAGCAACACTGTGACAAACAGAATAGTCTATGCATCTGATGTCCTAAGATCCATTTCCCAGCAACGAAATTACCATAGAATTCTGGTTGAGGTGACCTTTAGTTATTTATTAAATGACAAGTCAGAACTTGGGCTGAGTGGCTGAGGAGCCTTTTCAGTCCTCAAATGAAAAGTCACAGGGATGATCTTCAACTGTATCCATAGTCTCTCCTTAAGACTTGGTAACTGAATAAAAAATGACACAAATGTTATAAAATGGCAAGGCAAGGGACATATTTCTGACATAACAAAATAATGGTTGCATTCCCCAAAATAATATTTTGATGTCTGATGTCAGTCTTTAAACAGTTAAAAACTGCTGAAAGTTGAAAGAAGGCGCTGACAGTAATACCATGATGCTCTTGGATCATACATAGGCAGAAAAGCTTTTAGCACTGAATCATTGGTGTAACTTTATACCCCCGCCCTTTTAGATTGTTGGTATAATTAAATAAGAATTATCTAAATTTTAATTCTTGAAGATGTTTGTATATATTATTGCATCATACATACCTTTCTGTCAGTGATATACTTTAAACAAATATGCTCCCACAATACTGTTTTCTCCACCTGAAAGAAAAACAGAAACCACAAAGTATCACATTTTAAAATAAACCAGTACTGTATAGATAAATCACATTTACTTAGAGTATGATGTAACTGGTGGTAGTATTGGCAAATAGTTTTATCAGTCAATAGATCAACTGTAGTTATTCAAAAGCAGTAACTTTACCTTTCTGCTGTACATCACAAACTAGTGATTCAAGTGAATATGTTTGCCAAGTTTCTAAAACCTTATTTGAAAAATATATACATAAATGAAAAATATATATTGCCAAATAAAATAAATAGTTCCCATATTTGAAGCATGAATGTTGAATATGAATTATGAATAGAAGTGTTAACACTTTGGGGTATTTATCCTAATTAAAATTGTGATTATTTTTTTTAATACTAACCTTAATATTTTCCATATTAATATGCCAGGATATTTATATAGAATCTATGCTCTAATATTTACAAATATAGAAACATGGGAAAATTAACAAAATGCAATAGCTTATACAATACCAGACGAAGTTGAAACAGCTCTGTAAATATTTATTGAAATTTATTTGTTACTACGTTTATTAACATAATACAGTTCAATATCGTTAAATATAATTCTGTAGTATGGTAGCCTACGTGGCAACATAAGGAGATCGAAAACCGAACGACTAGGGTTGCTATCAATTCCATTGTATTTTTCATTGGTGCACATTGGCTACACCTATCTCACCTTAATAATCAACAAACGATGACCAACTCACTGACAATATATGGTGATATTTAACTTTTGACTATCGACTAGCTTATCATCACCAATATGACAATACCGCAAACACCCCGTTATAGCGCGCGACGAGAGACTCGTTTTACTTTTGCTCGTTTTCATTAGAAGGGAGTCGGACATAGATCTAGTTATCGGAAAATGATGAATTGATTCTTTTTTGGAAATATTAAAAATACACCATGATAAGAGCCTTGCTAAAATAAAATGTATAGACAGCACCAACAACCTGATGGTCCACATTTAGGCTACTTCAGTCAGTGCTAATTAGGCCTTTTCGGAAACAAATAGTATGTTTCTATCTCTTCCCGAAAATACAATTTTTCATAACATCATTGAGCGCATTAAGACTAAGGCTATAACTAGTAGCCTACAGAGAGTCGATCTGAAAATACTTCCATTGTTTTGATTCCCTCTCTTCGCTGTATAAGAGAAATCTACTAAACCTTTCCCACGGCCTGAATGAGCCACATTGTTTCACAAAACTCAAAGTCCGAAGATTAGTACAAGTAAACTTTGAATAGTAATGATTTCCGAAATAACACGGAAATTGCGATAACTGTCAGTGGTCAGTAGGCGATGCATAAGTTAGGCCTATTTACAGACCTACACGTTTACGATCGAAACCCGAACATAATATGACGGCCACAAAACGCCGCCAGACTGAATTCTGGTCAAACATATACTGCTTGCCCTTGGTAATTACCCTTGGTATCCATAAAATAATAATATGGAAAAAAGTCTTGGGCCTCCTTCACCTCTATATACATTATGTTCTGTGTATCAAATATTAATATCAACACTGACGCTCATGATCAGTGAAAGTGACCGGCAAACTGCATTCTAAACCCTGCCACTTCTGAATAATACGATACATTTAGGCTAAATCATTTGACGATCTGCATGTACAGAAACATATCAACAAGCGGAGGCTGCTTCTGAAAAATTAACTTACCTCATCCGAATTCACAGATCATCTGTCCAGTTCCAGTTGCTGCACAATCTCTTGGTTTTTGACTTCTAATATGTGAGCTTGAACTAAGATGTCTGGTGACAACAAATCTTCCGCGACAATGTGACGTCATTCTGACGTCACTTCACGAGGCAACAGGCTAAACTTTTTTCAGCAGTCGCTCTCACGCCGCATAAAATGGGCGCAATTGTTTTTAACTGTAATATTGCTTGTGACAACATTTAGTAGACAGATAACTTCGTTATAGATATATATGTTTTAAAAAAATAAAACTAAGAGATGGTAGATCTACAAGTGGTTTCCTAAACATCATTTACAAAAAGTGTTGTAATGTCCAAAGCACAACGTTATCACAACGTTAATTTGCAACGTTGTTGTTACGTTGTGGAATAACGTTGTCATAGAGATAGGCAATTACGTTCTGGAAATTTTAGCATTAAGAGATGAAAATTTAAATGCCGAATATATAGAAAGGTAATGCATTACTGCCTTGGTATTCTGACAAATTCATGTTGATTTTGATAAAGCAGTTCTATTCCTTTATGACGTTCGAGAAGCAAACTCTAACGTTTCACCGACGTTTCAGAAACGTAGCTACAAAATGTTGTGTGATGTCCAATGCACAACGATTTCACAACGTGAATGTGCAACGTTGTTATAACGTTGTGAAATAACGTTGCACGTTGACGTTAAAACAACGTTGTGACAACGTAATATCACGACGTTACCAATCCACAACGTTGTGACAACGTCGTGTGTTAGCTGGGTATGCTGTGATATTACTGGAATTCTGTTAAAAGTGGTGTTAAACCCAATTCACGGAGCACCGTTAGAATACAGTACCAGAACTTCTCGTGAGGACGATCTCTGCCGTAGGTCACATGTCTCAAAGACAAGCAACCAGTTTTTGTGAGAATCCGTCAGACGCGAACTTGCGACCTTCAGATTGTTAGCCCGACAGCTAACCGACTGAGCTACGTCCACACTGTAAAACAAAGTGCAAATTTACCTAGTCATGCCTATGATGTTATGGAACTGAACGAAAAGGGTCGAATAGGTGATGGATACTTACGAAGGTTACATTTAGACATGGTGTCTCGTGACTTTACGTCTACGGACCTTTGCGAATGATGATCCCAATGCCATATGGCACTCTCGTCCCATTCCGTAATCTACAAGATACCGATGACAAGGAATGATCCGATATGGCACGAACTGAAATTGGCACCAGACGTCAGACGTCGAACTCGCGAGTACGCATAAATGACATGTTATTTAATAATTCGTTGGGTGGATTTTGTGACAGAAAAGTGTGATAGGGAACACTGTAAGGATGATGTGGATAATAGTAAAGAACGAGGGAGGCATGTGCATGGCTAGTGACGACACAACGGTGAGTTTTTGAATCAGGACAGTTTCCAGTAGCCAAAGTATTCGACACAAAACCATTTCATTCTTTTTATTCGCCGTTTTTATGTGAAGAATATTAGGAGCCGCTATTGAATCCATAATAGCCACTAAACGGGTAGATCTACCTTACCCTAATGATTGAAAAGGGGTGATTGATCGCAAAGGGGACCCAAGGGCTAAGGATGGAGTTCGGGGTAACCTACCCTAACACTGGCGACATTAAGATGTGTTCAGCGCTATTAAACTGCATTCTTGTGCAAAATAATGAAAATTAATGAACCGAAAAAATAATATATGTATATTAGTTCCTATTTATAACCATTTTAGCCACTTCAATTATGAGAAAAACGAAATAAAAAATAAATAAAAAATAAAAGTGCTTTCGTAAACTAGCGCTTGCTATAAAATGTGCCGCCACAAGCTATATTTAGTAAACAAATATTCAAAACCCTCAACACCACTTGGCGTATTGAGTGACATTGCGTGTGGAGATGATAGATCACTGGGAGGAGCTTATGCACACTCGATGACCCCCTGACATCACAGGGCATTGTTTCGCCGGTGTGACTTCAACGAAATACTACAAATTACGTCAACGGGTATTGTCATGTGTTTGAAAAGTTTGTGGTACTGTATTCTAAAGGTTAGCCCAATTCACTTACTCACCCCATGCACAGTGATCATGGGCTGTAATTTGCACTGCAGAGTTGTGTCCCATAGGCATGACAGACACATTTGTCTGAATGAACTTGGGTTTTAATCCCAGATTCACCGTAATTATCATTCTTGGTTTGTCAGCAAAAAGACCATGCTTGTGGGTTTCACCAAAATGGCAACATCTAATGATCTGCATCACTTCAGACTTTCCTCCAACATTGAGCTGACACACTGATATCGCTGAAATACTGTTCAAGGCGGCATGAAACCCAACTCATTCATCGAGGTTATGTACAATAACACCACAGTCATTGGTACAGATTTTCAACAATCGCGTCTCAAGTACTATGACCAAATATGATCACAGACACTTCAAATTAGGCATGAAAGTCAAACTCAAGTGGATGGATTTACTTTATATAATTATGGGAGTCACTGAGTGTATCAAAATTATTTTACATCACCCAGACAGCTGTTTATAATTATTAAATGTAAACGCCATGATTTTCATTACCTTAAGTTTCTCACTTTACTTTTAGTGCCTTTCATTGGCTGAAAGTCACAAATGGCCCAATCAGAAAATAAATAAAAAAGTCATATGGACGATTTTCATTGGTTCTCAACCGTAACTAATAAATCATGACCACACAGCAAAACCCAAGAGCAGAGAATCCGAAAAGGTTCATAGATAGACAAATAGTAAAGTTCTTTTCGTTGTCAACACAGCCTAAACCGTCTTCCCACAATGCCAAAGATGTTTCTGCTTCAAATGACCCTGGTGTCACATAATTGCCGAACACAAGTAATATTAGCCAATACAGAAAGTTTCACATGATGCACTGACAGTGACCATGTTGACAGACTGAGAGGGTTGTAGTCAAAATGGCCTCATGTCAGAATAGCCTCAAAACTCAAAAGTCAAGATGGTCACAAAAAGTCAACATGGCCACAATTCAATCATAGTCAAAACAGCAACAAAAAAAGGTCATAACAACCACAACAAAAAGGTCAGAATGGCCTGGATAATGATAGTAATAATTTTGTTGCATTTCAGGGTGATGTTCTATCTCTACAAAGGCATCATTAAATCTATGAGATATGTTTTTTTCAATCATGTATAGCTTGTGGCGATCACACATTTTAATCCACGTAATATAGATTTGCATGCAGAACAGAAATCTAGGACCCTTCCAAACCCTCACGTGACCCATGCAGATCCGGGGTAGAATATGCTTGCTGTAAAAGGCGACAATGCTTGCCGTAAAAGGCGACTAAAGGGGTTGGGTGGTCAGGCTCGCTGGGTTGGTTGATGTATGTCATCGATCCCAATTGTGTGGATCGATGCACATGATATTAATCACTGGACTTGTCTGGTCCATATAGCTTGAATATTGTGCGGCGTTAAACCAACCAACCAACCACATTCTATTACTGCTCATCCGAACTGCTGATGATTATTATTCAGATTTCGTTGAACATGCTCCCTGTTGCTCCCCGTCCTCCAGTTATGTGGATTACTGTCATCGTGGGGATTGGTCACGTTCTTATGATTATCACCATTGCTGACAAGACTATCGAGACTGGGACTCCTCTTGATACAGCACTTATACGGACCACCCCAGTTATTACAGTTGATTACATATTCTGATTACAAGAAATTGTGTTTTAGATAGTAGATATGTAGTGAAGTCTTTCCATTTTTGTTGTATGTCGTTCACTAACTGTCCTTTTTTCTTTTTTCAGTAAAGGCAGCACCCACTCTATCTGTAAGAAATGTGCCTACAATGTTAAAGTATATGGGAAGGTATGTAATGTGACATGGAGTCGAATGGCTAAATTACACCTTTTTCATTGTTGCACTGGAGACTAATCTCAACAGTTCCGTTGGAACATCAAAGAAATTTGTTCATCTAAAATAACTATGCAGGCTAAAAGAATGTTTCTTGTGAATTGGGGCATCACTTGAAGACATGCTCTGAGACTATTTTTCTAATTAAGATGATATTTGCTTCATTCATGAACTCGTTATATCATGAGTCTAGTTTTGTGAGTTGAAGGAAGTGATGGCTGAGCATGTTGAAGCAGGTATAACAGAATTCATTCAAATGTCTCAAAGGCCATCTCTTCAAGGCAAGGGAGTTAACAGACTGTAAAATTAAAAGTCCAGTTCCTTCCCTCGCCAAAAAGGGCTGGAATTTCGTTGCTCAATCGTATAGCAACCAGTGGCTATTACCATGATTACGTTGTGCCTGTCTCTGTCCCTTCTATTGATCAATCAGATTCATATCAATTGCATTTGCTTCAGACAAGATAGCAGTGCCAATTCAGATGATCTGATGGATGATCAAGATCTCTATATTGTAACAAAACGTCTTACCGTGTGAAGTGCATCAAATCATTTGAGAAAATTGATTAAAAACATGGAAAGATTTGGAAAATATCTGTCAATGCCCCATTGACGGTACACATACTTTGCAAATCCTGCAATTGATCTATATGCACCTCAATTCACTTATTCCATTTGTCCTTCAAGCTTTTAATACCACTTTTATAGAAATCCGCAAATTGGCCCTCTAACCACACCTCGGTGGCACTCTTTATGTCCTCGTCATCCTGGAAGCATCTTCCACGTAGGCCAGATTTCATTTGCCGGAACAAGAAATAGTCACTGGGGGCTAAGTCTGGGCTGTAGAGTGGGTGATTTAACTGTTCGAATCCACATTCACATATGGCGGCCTGTGCAATTTTCAACTTGTGAACTGGAGCGTTGTCTTGCAAAAGTAGAATACCACGTGTTAACATCCCACAGCTTTTCTGGCGAACAGATTTTCGCAATTCTTTCATTACATTTGCATAATACTGTCCATTGATTGTAGTTTTTGGTGTCATGTTATCAATCAGTAATATGCCTCTTGCATCCCAAAATATGGTGGCCATTACCTTGCCAGCCGATGGTTGAGTGCGAAACTTCCTCGGAGGCGGAAAATTGGGGTGCTTCCATTGCATGGATTCCAATTGAGTTTCTGGGTCCCAGTGGTGGATCCAGGTTTCATCCCCTGTCACTAGACGAGAAAGAAATCTGGCTTCATCAGCAGTATAGAGATCCAGGAGGTCTCAACAACTTTCAGTTCTCTAATGGCGATCTTGAGCTCTTAGGTTTCTAGGTATCCACCTTGGACATACCAAGATGCTCATGAATAATGGTAACAACAGTTCCAAATGATATTTTGAATTCCCTATAAAGTTCAGATACTTTCACTTGTCGGTCAGACAAAATTCTTCTTTCTATAGCAGCAATGGTTTCCGGTTGGGTGGCATCTGAAGGCCTGTCTGACCTTGGGTCATCGTCTATGGACTCCCTACCCCTTTTAAACTGTAGAGACCAACGGTAAACTGTGGAATAGTCAAGAGCATCCTTACCCATCACTTTACACATAGGATCATGGATTTCTTTTGCTTTGCATCCCTCCTTGGTTTGGAACTTTATTACAGCGGGTTGTTAATGTTTGAGAGAATCCTTGATTGTGACCACCCTTAGGTGAATGAAGCCATCACATCTAACTTATTGTTGTGTCTGAAACTTGTTATGAACCGTGTCAACCTGATGATATGACTAGTGTCACACCTACCACAAGTTGACATTGTTTGTGTAAACACAAATGCCCCAGTTGCAAAACTTATTGTACGCCCCTCATATGTGTAGCTGAAGAACTGATTCTGTTTGCAGCCTACAGCTTGTGAATACTGCAGTGTGATAGCAGCCTTTATAGGCAACAAATGCCAGCGGTGCACCAACTCGGAGAAGAAGTGGGGCCCTCCTTCCACCTGTGAACAATGCAAACAGAAATGTGCATTTGACAGAAACGATGACAGTCGCAGAAAGGTACTACTATCACAGTTAGCGATAAACCATTATGTGGTTTACTTTTGATAATGATTTGGATAAACTACACACACAATTAATTTGAAGAGTGGATATGAGATTGTTAGAGGTTAGAAGTGTTCCTCTGTGCCCCATGCTTAGAGCTGACTAGTGAGGACTGGAGGCCAGTGTGTGATGACTGGATGTCATTGTGCCTTGATGTTCTGGAGCATTATGCAGTCCAATGAACATAGCAGTGTTCGTAGGCTTTTTGTATTTGTTTGTTTATAAATTTTTTAACGCAGCGCTCAGTAATATTCTAGCTATATGACGGCGGTCATTAAATAATCAATCTGGACCAGACAGTCCAGTGATTGACATTATGAGCATCAATCCATGCAATGGGGATACGATGACATGCATCAACCAAGTCAGTGAGTCTGACTACCCGATCCCGTTAGTTGCCTCTCACAACAAGTATAGCCTCCTTTCTTCACAGGTCAGGCTTTTTGTAGGCTGAATTTGTCCACCTACAGTTTGTTTTGGGTTTTTTAACCATTAGGTGTTTGAACATCACAATGATAATGATAATATTGAAGTTTGTATTTGATATAGTGCCAGTACTGTAACTGAAGATGACACTGTAGTGAGAGTGAGATGGGTTTAATGCTGCTTTTAACAGTATGTCAGTTGTATCACATCATGTCAGCTTAATATGGGAGGAACGCCCAAAGTGATGCACGTCTCAGATATCCACCACTTTGGTTTGCTGACAAACCTACAAACATAATCAGGGCGGAATTGAATAATTGAACCAGAATTCAAACCCAAACCCAATTCGTGCCCCTTTTGCTAATTGTAAGACTGGGGACTGATGTCCTTGGCTGCATCTGTCTGGAGATGATGACCAGGAGTTCCGTTTTGTCGTCATTCACTTTTCAGTAGTGATATGATGTCAAGTGTATGACACTGCATTTTGTTTTTTGTCCTGGGAATACTGATGATGGCAGCTAATGCAAAGATAGCTAGGATTGTGGGTTTTTTCTCTCTCCAAATGTTTCACCATGAATGTTTCACTAAAACGGTCTAATAAATGCCCATTTTTCTTACTGGTTGTAATTTTACAGGTTGATGGCAAGCTCCTATGTTGGCTATGCACTTTGGCATATAAACGTGTATTAGCCAAAGCCAAAAGGCATCGTGAACATGATGCCCAGAAAATTGCCAGCGGAGCAAATCGAGCCAGTACTGACAGTCAGCCAGACAATTTACTGGCCAAGCTGGAGAGCAAAGTCAGTCAAAGTGAGAGTCGACTAAACGAAGCTGAATCTCGACTTGAGAAACATTGGAGCATTAATCGTTTGTTTAAACTGAGTGGCATTGATCTAGATAAGACTCCCACAAAGACAGGTTCTAGTGGTAGTGGTGGGGGCAGCGGAAGCAACAACCACCACAGCAACAGTAAGGAAGAGGGCCGTAGTCGGAGCAGTGAGAAGAACAAGGACAGACACAAACATGCTCGACATCACGACAAACGGGACAAGTCTCACAGCAAGAGCAGCAAGTCAAAATCACATCACTCCAAACATAAGTGAGTTCTTTCTCAATGGCTAGGAGTGTTTGGATAGCATATTGGTTGAAGTTTTGGTTTATTATGCCAAAGACATGGTTACAATGTACATCCAATCTTGATGTTAACCCTGCCGTGGTATGACTGGAATGGTGCTATAAAAGAGTCGGAGAACCAAACGTACCGATTTTCGTGTGCAATACTCTTTTTAGAACAGGGGCGGTCGGGTAGCCTAGTGGTTAAAGCGTCCGCTCGTAACGCTGAAGACCCGGGTTCGATTCCTGACATGGGTACAATGTGTGAAGCCCATTTCTGGTGTCCCCCGCTGTGATATTGCTGGAATATTGCTAAAAGTGGCGTAAAACCATATTCACTCACTCACTCACTTTTTAGAACATGACAGGACAAATTTTGTGAATATTTGTTTTTGTATTACCGACTTTGTTCATTTATTTTTCATGTCAATAGTTAATGTGAAAATGTTTTGTTGTAATTAAATTTTCGAGTGTTCTTCTGATTAAACTTTTATCATCCATATTGTAGTAGTTCTCCTTAATGACATTTGGAAGCTGTATGGGGAGGTATTCTGGTCCTAACATTTTTGTCCAAGTCTTCATCTTCAGTTTCTTTCACTTAAACAATATAAGGTGACACTTATTTCATGTACTTTGCATCTCAAGGTCGGAAGACACTTCATCTCCCACTAGTCCAAACAAGAAAGCTAGAACAGAAAAAAATTCCTCAAATGGCGTATCTACTCCAAAAAGGTAAGTGTCTATATCAGTCTCGAGATTAAGGACAGGGCAGAACACTGTTTGTACGATTAAAAAAGAGTAATACTGCTTTAACACATTGTAGTTTGTTGTTTAATGCCTCACTCAGCAATATTCCAGGTATATGGCGGTCTGTAAGTCATCGAGTCTGGACCAGACAATCCAGGGATTAATGTCATGAGCATCGATCTACACCATTGGGATACAATGACATGCATCTTCGGACTAGTATACACAAAAGTTTTTGGCACACACTGGATACTCAGGAACTCCTGCTTGTTTACCAGATTATAGTTCAAAATGGGTCCGGTTTGTCAGGGTCACTTGTCAGGTTGGAGCATTGATGATGCTGTGAACTGCGAAGCACTGGTTTTCCTGTCAGGTTATATTCATGCTGCAGTGATATAGCTGAAATACTGCTGTTCAAATGAACCAGAGCATGTAGGCAATAGAGCGGAGTGTAATTGTTGGGGTTGATTTAACTGAATTTTGAAAGGCTTGCTGAAACATAAAGGCTAGTCAAAGTTTCACCCCTTCTCTGTGTCTGTTTTATTTTTTAATTTGGACACTGCTCTTGAATCATGTAAATTTTTAAACTTATCCTATCTCACACATTGCATTTGTCCCTTATTTTTTTATCCTATGTGGGAACGTGCTTTAATCATTTTTCCAGTTTCGCTACAGGGTCATTCTATATGTCAATGACATATGGGAAAAAACGTTCGGCATGTATACCCGATCTCATGCTGTTTCGTTTGAGTAATGTATCGGGATCATTAACCGTTTGATTGTGTGGGTTTTTTTTCCCGCTCACAAGTTCATATCTTTTGGGGGCTAGACAGTTTTCAAAATTAGAGCATGTTGCCACATAGGATCGAAGAAGAAGGGAGAAATGCAAAGTGTGGGATAGGATAAGTATATAAATATACAATTTACCGGTTTGCTAAAATTTCAAATTTTGATGAGGTCGTCTAAATGGTGTGATCACCTCGGTAGAATGACACACCCGGCGGCCATTTTATAATATTCTGTACAACAACAAATTCTTTATTTGCTCATAAAATCGCCATGAAATGAGGCAATAGAAGCCAAGATTTAATTTCAGAGTGCAGGAAATGGCGTTTTAGGGGTGAGGAGTTCTAAAATTTTCGGAGCTACCTGGGTGGCCTCCAGCATTTAGATTTGGGCCTGTTAGTTTGGAGAAGGGCTAGTAATTTTTGAAAGGAGCAAGCCCTGCTGGCTACATAAAGATTTGTTGTTAAATCTTCCCCTGTTAATCGTAAGCTGTTGTTACAGTACCAGCAGCAGTATAACAGACACAGCAGCTACTATGGACATCGGTTCCTCAGACCAGATGATTGCCATCACACAGCTTAGAGAACAGCTCGAATCTCTCAAGAAACAGCTGCAAGGCAAAGACCAACAGCTCAAAGAGAAGGATAAGAAGGTAGCATGTGTTTCCTTGTTATTATTTTCATGGACAGCTGTCGGGGTAGAGTTTTACCAGTTTGAAAGTCACAATACCACCAATACCACAGGGCCCAGGGGGGTGAAGGTGCTGTAAGTTGTGTGTGGTGGATGCAGGATCAAATCTCAGATTTTAATCAATTTGCATTCTTGGTTTGTTAGCACCATATTATTACTTGTGGCTTTGGGAACATCCGAATCTGCATCAGTTAAGGTGTTTTCTCCCACATTATGCTGGCATTCCATGATTTAACTGCATACTGCTGAATGTGGAACACATGCATGTACTATTCAAAGTGAAATAGTTCTGAAAGTGTTTTCACTAAGCATAGTAAACAATTTTATTGCCTATTTACAATGTCAGATGTTATGTGTTAATTCCCAAGATGTTAATCCAGAAATCTGTGCATAAATGAACTTAGTGTGAAACCAACAAACCACCAACAAGTGGTATACTATCAACAAATAATTTACTAATCAATACAAGTTAGTGCTCAGCAATTACAATGTCAGTACACATAGAGTGGTAGTGCAATATTCAATGGCAAGAAATAATATGATGGCAGTGGGCAGTATCAAATACAAAAATACTGGAGTGGTAGTAAAAGTCAGTGATTATAATATATATTCATCCTGTGGTGACAGTGGTCAAGCTTCCGTGATACACAAGGCAGGGAATCAGGGATGATGGGCGATCCTCACATAAAAGCTGGTTTTGATGTGATGAAAATGCATGTGTGTGAGAGACCAAATGTGCGATAGATGCGTAAACACGCTACTGTCCCCTTTTATACAGTCCAAGTCGCTTCCAGAACACCACAGAATATTCCATAGTCCATGGTATACTGGAAGTTTACACGCCACACTTGTCAAGCTCCCCAGCGTGTGACACTTTTGTTACACTCCTGGTAACATCGCTGCCACCAGTGTGTGCACGGTCATTACAAGAATCTTAAAACTTTGCCCCTTAACCCCAAATGTAGTAATGTTTATACTTTTCTTAATGTCTGTGGGAATGCCATCACAGTTAATTTTGAAAAAGGTTTACGACTGACCATATTTTCCAGATGAATTGACCTTAATGTTTGTTTGATCGGATTGGTACGAGGTTGCAGATGAACGGAAAATCAACCAACTTCTCCCTTACATTCTTACTATATCAATTACATGATAGTTGTAATCAAATTGACAAAGAAAGAAAATAATTTAGCAGGGGTAAGATTATTCGGCATCATCACTTGTTTGTAAACATAGTAGTCGGTTGTGAGTTCAACTCAAAGCATGGTTGTGGTCCCCTATCACAGTAGGGAGCTTTCACTGGTGGCAGAGATAGTATAGAGAGCTCCACGAACAGGCTATCGCTGTGAGGAGCTTGCACACTTGTATTTTAATATAGTAACTTCCCGACGACTGCTTTGATTTAATAGTACTTAATTCCTGACGACTAATCCCTGCGCAAACACAATGCAGCTTCTACTGAATCTCTATTGAAACAATATAACACAGTTACGATCATTGTTAAACTATAAAATACATTGCCATATAAAACAGAATTTGTTTGATGATCCTGTGAGTTTCATACAGTCTTCCCTTTCTTCCAGATAAATGAACTTAAAGCAGAAAAATGGGAATTTGAGAAAGAATCACGAACAAAACTGAATACTCTACAAAAACAAAGTTCAGACACAATAGATACTCTACAGGTAAGTGTCCATACTTTCTGCAGGTGGAAATGATTCATGTCACAGGATTTCTAGAGACTTATTTATTTGATAAGGTATGTCAGAGGTCCTAAAAATGAGGTCTCACATTGTGTTACTTATTGTAATTGAACATGCTGCTCTCATATCACTATGAGGGAAGATTGGGCTGGGATAAATTGGAAATTGTCATTGTATAACCAAAACAGTTTGATATTGCTGAATAACAGTTTGGTATTAATAATGAAAAAGTTAATACTGATATGCTTAAGAGAAATATATGTAATCATAAGACCAAATGAGTACAATTTCCTTAAAGTTTGTCTATTCATACGGAAAACAGAAGACTGCACAACCCCAGTTACTATTGCATGTATCTATCATTATTGTTTGTTTCGTTGGTTTATTTGTTACTTAACGCCTCACTCAGCAATATTCCAGCTATATGACATCGGTCTGTAAATAATCGAGCCTGGACCAAACAATCCAGTGATTGACTTTATGAGCATCGATTCACGCAACTCCTCATCCTCCTTCTTTTCTACTTCTCCTCCTCCTCCTCCAACATCCTCCTCCTCCAACATCCTCCTCTCCTTCTTTTCTCCTCCTCCTCCTCCAACATCCTCCTTCTCCTCCAATCTCCTCCAACATCATCATCCTCCAACATCCTCCTCCAACATCCTCCTCCAACATCATTCTCCTCCAACATCATCATCCTCCAACATCGTCCTCCTCCTTCTCCTCCAATCTCCTGCAACATCATCATCCTCCAACATCCTCCTCCTCCAACATCATTCTCCTCCAACATCATCCTTCTCCTCATCCTCCAACATCCTCCTCCTGCATCTTCTCCTCCTGCTTCTTCTCCTCCAATCTACTCCAACATCCTCCTCATCCTCTAACATCCTTCTCATTCTCCTCCTCCATCCTCCAACTTCTTCTCTTTCCGGTCCTCATCCAACATCCTCCTCCTCTTCCTCATTCTTCTTCTTCGCTAACATTGGTAACATTGTAGTTTTGTTTTGCATGTGTTTGTACATTAGATAAATGACTAATTTGTAACATTTTTTTTTTCAGGTAAAAAACCGTGAATTAATGCGTCAAGTTTCAGCCTTATCAAAAACCAGCAAGAAGACCGTCGTTGCAGAAAGTCCACATTTATGAGGATAGTATCTGTTATAGACATTACTGAATACCTCTGTGTGACCTTTGTAAAGTAGCAGATTACTTTAGTTTTCTATGAATGTAACAGATATTTAATTAGCTGATTCAGCAGTTTTATGCTTTCATTATGTGTCTTGCCAACTATTTGATTCTTAATGACAATTACTTTTATCACATGGTATACTGCCCAGTGAACGAAGCTGACCATACTTGTGTGTTATTACACAGGGACATATGTGTTTTATTGTTAGGTCAGTTGTGAGAGATTCATCAAGCTTTGCCGCTAATTAGAAAGTTGGTACAAAGGTGTCATATTGAACATCAACAGAAACCTCTTTTCTGCTTAACCAATTCTAAGTTTATGTCAACCCTCCTATTTTTTATGATCTTAGTCCTGTTTTAATTATTCCTATGTTTTGATATTTTTTCATGGCAACAATATTTGTTACATTCATTCACAAATTAGTTCGATTTTAAACACATTTTATCAGGGACGTTATACATCTATCTTGATGGGGCTATTATTGTGAGAAGAATGTAGAAGTTTCATGACATACCTAGAGCAACCATGAAAAATGGCTTCCATTTATCCATTGACGGTTAAGTTTGTAACCTTATCACCCTGTTTTTCCGAGTTCCATTCAAAGAACGGTCAGTGCACTAGGACTAATCCAAAGCTCAAACTTCAGATCAGTTACATGTGTACTTTTCAGAAACTTTGTGAACAGGCTCCTGAATGTTCATTTTGACATAAAGAAGTCGTTTGGCATTATTTTCTAGTTTGTGTTTTACATGTGGCAACTGCAAGGTGAGGTGTTAAAGAGTTACTGGAAATTATTTTGGCTACAGGTTGAAGATTCTATCAATGGACAGTGCAGCTTATTGAGATTTATGTTGAAATGTATGAAGTATTGTACACTGCTGTTGCATATGCCTGGCACACTCTGGGACGTCTCCACTATGATTATGATGAACATTGGCATTAACCTTGAACTTTCTTCTACAAATTAGATCTGGAGGCTTCTTACCTGGATTCTTGTTTTATTTTATATGTGGGGTTGGGTGGGGCTGTATGTGCATCTCATCACCCTACAAACATGATAGATGTTTGAGTTTATGGATAACAGTCAACAGTTCTTGTCAAAGCTCTAATATTATTATCAAAGGTTAATGGTGTCCTTAGATTCACTTTCTATTGAGGACCTCCAGGACCTCCCTTAATATCTACAACGCCAGGGCGCACTCACACAAAGTTACTGTAGCAGTGTGGTACTATGGTTATTGAAATGCCTGTACTTTAACGTAGACTTACATTATGAGAGTCTCATTGCTAAGATTGTTTTGTGCAAGTGGGCCCTCATCTTCCCGAGGCAAGAGTGGCCACTCACCTTTTTATCAGTCTTGTTTCCACCCTTGCCACATCAAGCCCACTTTCCTGTTCTAAATAAGATTGGACTATTGCACAGATCGATAGTCCAATCAGAGAACGTTCACAAAATCAACATCCACGACTGGTACACCTTCATATAAAAGTGATTTACTGCTGCCTGTCTTTGTTGACACGAATATGTCTTGTTCCTAGGTTTTTGTGTCAAGGATAAATAGCAGATGTTTTCATTATCTGATTGACTAGGTCGTCGCCTATGGTAGTCGCCATCTTTGTGAAGCTCTATGAATATGAATAAGCTCTTTGTGAATAAGAACGATCTGACTGGATATCGCGTCTTCATTACAAGGGGCACAACTCATGATATACGCGAGGTGGCGCCAGGGTTGAGCCAAGAAAAGTGGGTTTGATGTGGCAAGGGTGGCAAGGCTTTGATATAGGCTACTGGACATGCTTGCCTCAGAAGGTGGGGGGGGCCCTGTGGACATTGACTTAAATAGGAGGATGTTATACTTCATTCCATAGCCTTTATTCATCCTGGCATGATCTAAAAGTGTTTGATAGCCTAAAAGTAACAACAGTCTTTGTTGGACACCAGGTGTCAGAGATCTAGTACCATGTACTCAGCAATATATATTTGGCTCTGTGAGCAAGTCGTTGTGAGTGTCAGTTTGCCCAACTGGTTTTAGTTCATCTGACTCCTGGGCCATTATACCGGTAGCTTATGGGATGGCATGCTGTCTCCTTGTGCAGCTTTGGAAATGAAAGTATTTATTGAAATAAGAAGAATAACGTGTACAGTAGCACATGTATAAAATGTTTCACAAACTAATCACACGTCACAAATTGCTCTCCTACATGTTTCAGTGTTGTGTGTTTATTTTGTGACTTTCTTTATGTATGCGCTACAGTACATGAGTGACTTTCACCTCTGTATTGGGACCTCAATATTTATGTATTTATTTATAAATCGGTGAGACATGTTCCATCTTGTTTGATGAATTTCAAATGACTATAATTCCTAGTAATTTCCACCAAATATATATTTTTTGTTACAACTGGAGAAATTCAGTGTTTGCAAATAGGCGTTAAAGTATGAAGGCTGACATTGAGATCAGCAGTCACCTGATTGGCTGAATTTCAAATGGCTCTAATGCTTGCGGATGTCAACCAAATTTGATTCATCTTTTGCAACAGTTTTTGCACGATCATTTGAACAATACTAATCAGCAATGGTGAACCAGTTGACTAATTAATCGTTGGGCCATTCTTTAGTATTGTTGTCAAAATGTACCTGTTAATCTATTATATTTGAGGCCTGTGTGAAATTAAATACAGTCATTTAAATATCTCCAGTTAAAATAGAGACATATTTACATATATGTAAATATTTGATTTATATTTCACCTGTTAAGTGTAAATCTGAATGTTTTGTGGCACAGCAGCTAGGCATAGAATACATGCAGTATAAAGTGGTTATATGTTACTGGTGTTACCTGTACCCCCACTGACTGAAGACGAGACATACCTGCTGTTTCCATCACATAGAGTTACACATTAAGTGCATTTATAGTCCTTGGCCTCGTTCCACAAAGCGATCTTAGCGGTAAGACTCCCATACTTTAACATAGGTTTGCGACAGTCTTAGCGCTAAGATCGCTTTGTGGAACGGGTCCCTGGCCATGTGAAATAGAATCACAAAGTATCACGATTATTAGCTGATGATAGCTGCATGTGTGCTTAAATACTCTTTAGTGAAAACAAGCTATTCCGGCATTAATAGTAAAGACAAAAATTGCAAAGTACTCTTTTCAAGAAATATACTTTTTGCTAGCGCTAAACATCATCATTGAATTTAATCACAGGGTTACAATCTGGTGGGAAAGGATCTGCAGTCATGTGACTAAGCAGTGATATTGAGCCGTGTGTGAATCTCAAACTGGGTCAATAGCGCTGTACATACAGTACCAGCATATGTAATTAAAGCACAATTGACCTAGTTCCAGATGCATACCACCTATTCCATGTTTCTATTTCAAGTTGTGAAGACTAGCGGGGTGTGCCCTGGGCTTTGTCATGTTGTAACATAATAGGACTAACACTGATTTGTGAGCTGGCAAATCGCTGATATCTCCGGGTATATCTGAAGGAAGGACTAGTGATCTTTTACTTGAATGTTACGGGTATTATTAAGCAGTTTTCCTCATTTTGATCACAGATCTGTAATGGTACTTGGCCTCAGGTTTTCTGCTGTCGTCAACAATAGTTAACTACAGGGCTCGATTTAACGATATAAAACATGCACCTTTGCAACCTACTATTGAAAAATGCAGCCTAATAGTTATATCTACATGCAAAAGTGCATGTCAAAAAGTTAATATGTGTCTGACTAGCCCTTAATTGTCACACATCAATGTTAGGGGTACATAATACCTCTAAGGTGTATTTACCATACTATATCACTAATCCCTGAGTTATGTGTAGTTTGTTATGCTTTCTTGGGCTTGATGTCATCAAACTGTGGGCACTTTAAGATGATGTGCTCATGTTCCCATAACGTCTTACAGCAATACGTAATTAATTTACTGACACTGGCACCAGATGAGCCTATGTTTCAAAATTGAATAAATTTATGGGACCAAGGTGTAGCCCGGATTTGTCTGGTGCAACTAGGTTTTCGTGTCAACATGCACCTGGTGCAACTAGGTTTTCGTGTCAACATGCACCTGGTGCAAGTAAAATCCAGTTCCTTAAATCGAGCCCTGAACTGTCTCCATATGTGATGCTGCCCCATCCTAAGCTCCCTGACTGCTTGTAATTAATTTTTGTATTTTAGGTTGGCATCTTAATAAATTATTCCCATTCATAAAAACATTTTAATGGAGGTTTTAAGCATATTACATGCTATGAACTAGAATTAAAGCTATTCTTTCTGAATAATCATATTTTACAAACTCTGTCACTTGAACTTATTTGCTCAGTGACTTTTGGGGGCGGTCGGGTAGCCTAACAGTTAAAACATTTGCTCGTCACGCCGAAGACCCGGGTTCGATTTCCGACGTGTACAATGTGTGAAGCCCATTTCTGGTGTCCCCCGCCGTGATATTGCTGGAATATTGCTAAAAGCTGCGTAAAACCATACTCACTCACTCACTCACTCACTCAGCGACTTTTGGGATGACCTGAAGGGGAATATTTTGAGACAGGGGTGAGAATATTCCGCGGATCTGTGAATTTAAGTGACCACAAATTTGTTGAAATCTTATGGCTTCAGGGGGACCAAGTCTCCCAGACCCCCAAAAATTATGGACCACGCTATAATTGAAAAGAAGTTCCAGCTGAAAAGGAAAGTATCCATTCTAATCCCTGAAGATAGAAAATAGTATCATGTTATACATATATATATATCAACATTGAAAAATTCTTACTTTACTTTCACATGTTTCTTATTCCTTCTGTCCATAACAAGGAGAAGGTACTTGTCTCAGTGATATTATGTGAATTGTATGTTTTGATCAAAGGTATGTTGAATCTGTCTGAGCCATGGATACCTTTACAGTTTGCACCATCATAGTCGTAGTTTTAGAAAACAGCTTCCGCCTACCTGCCCTATTTTCAAAAATAATATGTTATGTTAGCCGTGGCATTGTTTTAGACAAAATGTCAAATGGTAGTCTTACTTAATTTTCCTTGACTTGCAGAACTTCAATTTGCAGCCAATACACATCAAAGTAGCTTTAGCTCTTTATTGGCTGTTTCAAGAAATGTATCATGTTTGATCTGCATTGTCTCCACAGTTGCCGTTTAGTTTGTTTTATTTTTAACTTTGTGCAATTTCCCATCATTGTTTCTCATCTATCATCTTTGGAATATTTTATGTTGATGCCAAAAAGTAGTTAGTGTGACACTATGGCCACCGATGAAATGATAGCTTCCAGAACACTTTAAAAGGAGTTTTTATAACAGAAAATTATTTTTGTGACTGCTGTTTCTTTTAGAATGTGCAGGCAATTATCAATGTTCCAATTAATTGTTATTCCTTAATAACAGTTTCAGAATGTCTGCTAGCTTATGGCAGAGTGAAGTAAGATTTACCGTTATTTGATAGGCTAACAAAATAAAAGAATTGGTTCTCAGGCAGTGGCTTTTGAAAATATAGTGCGGGTGGGCGTTTTTTGTGGGGTTTTTTGTGGGTTTTTTGTTGTTCAAGCTAGTATGTAACCAAATTTTGTTTACAATAATTGTGGCAAAATCATGTTCTTAAGTATTGTAGCATTTCACTGCTGGGGTCAGGTGTTCAAAGCACGGAAGATTTTAAGATTTTATTTTTTTTGGAAATAAAAACGAAATGTGCTTTTTGATGATGCAGGTGGTGCCTCAGAACTAAGACTATTATTTTATTTTAGCCATGTTTTATCCAATGTCATGTGAATGTTAAACTTTGAAGTGTTTTCACATCCTCTCATTTCACGTCATCTTGCTCACATATCAGTAAGAGTGTCATGACAGTTCACAACCGCTGTTTAGTAGGGATTGTCATGAACCAACGGTCATCAGTTATATTCACCATGTACAGAAACTGTATGTAAATTTTTATTTATGTTATTGTACAGTTGATAACACTGTATGGGACATATTTTTACTATAGAGGCATTTGACTAGCAGATAGCCCTGTGTGACCTGGTGGAAACAAAGCATTGGGTTGACATGGGACTTGAGTCCTCCTCTGGACCAGATTACAATAACAAAGAATTAGTGACCGGTATTGGATCAGTTGCTCGCAGTTGCTTCATGTCTGGTAAAAGATTGCATTTTGATTACATTTGACTGGTACATACAATCTGTGTGAAGGTGTTAGATCTTCACTCTGACCATGGTTCAATTCCCCGCAGTTATAACCTACTTGTGGGAACTTGACGTATTTTGTACACTGAAGACTGAAAAAATCCAATTCCACAACCTACCTACTTCATTGTTCGCCAAATGAATTTTATTGCAATATGCTGCTCTGCTCTGTCAATTTTGTCAAATATGTTTATAGATCTGTAGACGTGTTTAATTTTCTCAGTAGAAATATTGATGAAGTGAACAAAGAATTTACTTTTTCAGAAATATGCCTTGCATGAAGAGCCTTATGAGTATCCATTCTGAAAATATGTATAGATTTAAATCCCCTCTCAAGTTAATAAATTCCTGAGCAGTTTTTGTTGTTTTGCTTGAAAGATGTGTAAATAAAATACATCAGTTCTTGAAAGCCAAGGATCTCTGATAGTTCAGAAAGTGTAGGTTCAGCCCTAGACAACCATACAGGTTTTGTTCAGGTCGTGGAGATGTGTGGAGAAGTTTTGCCTTGTCCTTGTAAACAAATGCCCTTCAGATATAGAGATGTTTATTTTTCTATTTAAGCGACTGCATGTACTCATTGCATATGTCATCAGTGTTGAATTATTTCTGTCATACCTTGTCAGTACTAATGGACCAGTTCAAAAGTTCGATGTCGGATAAGAAACTTAAGTCCTTAAGTTGCGAGACATCCTCCCTTAAAAAATAACTTAAATCTTTAAATGTTGAATTTCCGAACCTAGCAGCCTCTTTTGTCATGCATTCTCGTGTTTCGCCTTGTGTTTTTCCCCCGGAACGTTTATCGGATGAAGTTTATTTACTAGGTGTTGACAACAATCATTGGTGGGTTTTTTATAGATCAAATCTGTAATCATATATTACGCTCTGCACTAGACGGACTATTGCCGGTAATGATAAAACCCAACCTTGTAGAAAGACTTGATGTCTTCAGTGACTACTCCTAACAGCATATTAAAGCAAAAGATCGGTTCAGTTTAGTTACTCTTGAGAAATCAGGTAAGTTGATTTTGTTGGATGCAAAACTTGCAGGGGCATTAACACAAACCCACCCCCACCCCTTAGGAATTAAGATCTTTATCGGGAAACAAACTTTTGAACTGGTCCCTAAACAAGGGAAATCCAGCAAACTAAAAGTAAAGTATCTTATATAACGTCTGTGTTTCTTGTATGTAAAAAGCACTTTAACTGTTTATAATGTGAGATCCCTTTTTGGAGAAGCTGCCTTGTATGCACTATACAGTCTGCAACTTGGTCATTGGTTTACTTCAGATGAAGTTTGGAGCAAGCAGTAGAGAACCCAGTCAAAACATCAGTGTGTAACTGAAATTTTGTGATCCAAGGTTATTAGACATGGTTAAATACATTTGCTGCTACTCATCTTGTGTTTCCTGACCTAAAACCTTTGACCTTTGCTCCTGTTCTTGACCGGTGACTGTATTAACAGTACCCCATATTATTACACCAGTGATTTTGCACTCAATAATCAAAAGACATTTCTGTGAAAAAAATATTCTACAAAAGAAAATGTAGTTTTCTTTCAGATTTTGCCGATTAATCCATAGAGTTAATGATATATAATTAGCTTTGACAGTCCTTATCAATTTTCCTGTACAATATACTGCAAGGAATTCTTAACCAAATCTGTTCCAACATGCAAGCAAATAAATTTATTTAATTCAAGAAAATTGTACAATATATTAAATGAATTACCGAGTAATTATTTGATGTATGTCTTGTATTGTACACATTACCCCTTTCGAGATGTCTACGCCAGGTGGTACATTGCCTGTCATCAATAAGTTTATGTTAAGTACCTTGGTACAGCAATAGAACCACAATATTTTGTATAGGTTTGACATATTTGTATGTGGTTACGTTACCCAACAGTTTGTCTTCATGATAGTATTTGTTAATTTGTCAGTTGCTGTTGTTATTCTAACAGAATTTAGTGTAATTTGTAAACTATATAGTGATTTATTTTATGTAAAAAATGATTTTATGATTTTTTTAATTTCATTTCAAATGTCCATTGATATTTTGTAAATCTTCCCATAAAGCAAAAAAAAAGAAAGAATTAATTGAGATGAATCAAATGTTATCAATTCCCTTATTTATTGTTAACTTGTACAGATTGTCTTTAATGGCAAAGAATTTGCTGGTCAAATTTTTTCTAAATTGAATAAATTGGCTTAATTTGGCTCATTTGAGAGAGAAAAATGGTGTTAATATTTCCCAGAAACTTCATTGTCATATATTCCCATTGACCATATTACCACTGCCATAGCAACCATCAACATGTTTGAATGTATGTAGACCATAATCATTATTGTCTGGTTGTGTACAGTGTAGAAGTTTTGTACAATAAACGAGAGATAACATACATGAATTGTCAATTGTCATTTGTGAATATTTGACAGATTGTTTCAAGAAGAATGACACAGCCTTTTCAGAAGTCAGCCGAGAATGAGACCCTACGTTCAAGATACTGATACACCGATCTAATTAAAATCAGATCTTGGTGTTCGCTTTTGGTTTCTCTGTGTTGCAGAAGCGAGCCCTAGGATTTGAGTTTAATATGATTGTTGATGAACATTTTGAACAAATATTTCAGGAACACCCCCAAAATCATGATCACTTGAGCAGAATACAATTGTGGAATTCAGTACAGGTTTCCCTGCACCTGACATGTGTTAAGCTCTTCAAAGCCAACCACCTCCGTGGTCTAGTGGTAGAGCGTCCGCCCGGAGAGCGGAAGGTCCGGGATTCGATCCCTGGCTGCGTCATACCAAAAGGCGTTAAAAGATGGTACTTGTTACCCTGTCTGGCGCTTGGCATTAAGGGGCTAAAACAAGGACTGCTCGGCTCGGAGTCAGTATACTGTGTCTGAGTGGGGTATTCATGTTAAACTGCGGCATAGTATCTCAGTGTGCTAGCACTATAAATCGGCATCAGTCTGGACTAGTACAAGCAGCCACACAAACACACACACGTACATGCACGTCGCTATATAAGTGCAATAATCTTGGACGTGACGTTAAACCCCATTTCACCTCACCTCTTCAAAGCCATGATATGACTGCTTCCATGGTGTGCTGGTTCGAGCGTGAGCCAAGGGAGTGGAAGGTTGGAGGTTTGATTCATACCAAAAGATGGTACTTGTTGACACCTTGCCTGGCATTCAGCATAAGGGGATAAAACCAGGACCGGTTTGCTTGGTGCTGATATATGGTGTCTGAAACGTGTATCCATGTTAAAACAGCAGCGTGGTATCTCAGTGGGCTAGCATTATAAAACTGGCATTAGTCCGGACAAGTACATGCATGCATGCTGCTATTTAAGTGCAATAATCTTGAACAAGACACCTAACTAAATGCCAGGATATGATTCATGTGTTGGTTTGGAGTGAGGCACAGTGCCACTGATTACCTTATGCTACTTTGAACACACACAAGACAGATCCTCTTGGGATTCCAATTGAGGATTTGGATTTTCTGGATCTCAAGTACGCAAAGCTTCTTGTTAGAGGGCGGCGGTGTAGCCTAGTGGTTAAAGCGTTTGCTCGTCACATCAAAGACCCGGGTTCGATTCCCCGCATGGGTGCCATCAACTCATCAAAGACCCCAATCGGCCATAATCCTTTTGTATATACTACTGGCTTCACCCTTTTGTTAATGTTACTGACCTCTCCGGTCAATGTGTTTACTACACTTCAGTGTAACTACATCGGTATCTACTCTACTGTATAAACACTGCCTCCTACCTGTATATATACTTGTCAACCATACTCTGTACATCACTTGCTTGATAACGGTGTTAGAACCTACACCGAAACGTTGCTCCTAATTGTAATAAAGAAGTTCATCCATCAATCTTATCCTTACTTAGTACTCTAACTTCTAAATGCCTCTCAAAGAAGAAATAAAAATCAGCAAGATTTTATCTCAAACACTTTGTGTGTTTTTTGACATGGTTACAAAAACACATCAACGAAACAAAGTTTGATCATATAAATATATCTCATGATATGAGTGAATTCATTGATCTTTCATATATTACAAAATGAAAATGATGTAAATTGCATATAGTTGTGGTTGATTTTGTGTCATGGGATGCACAGGCCCTACTCAACATTTAAATGTCTTTTTGAGCTAGTTATGTATGTGCAAACAAACAACCAAACAACATTGACTGCTGAGCAGTCTGTGTATATCTTACATCCACAGAGAAACACTCTCACAGTCATTGGCAACAGATAACCACCCAAGATTATTGTACAAGTTGAACATGAAAATAACCCTTATCAAACATCCTGGGAAACTAACACAGTGGTAAGTCAGCCTCAGACAGAACCACATTCGATCTTCGTGGTTGAAGCTGGGTGTCCATCAGTGTTTGAGACTGGGTATCCATCAGTGTTTGAGGCCGGGTGTCATCAGTGTTTGAGGTTGGGTGTCATCAGTGTTTGAGTCTGGGTGTCATCAGTGTTTGAGTCTGGGTGTCCATCAGTGTTTGAGGCTGGGTGTTCATCAGTGTTTGAGGCTGGGTGTCATCAGTGTTTGATGCTGGGTGTCCATCAGTGTTTGAGGCTGGGTGTCATCAGTGTTTGAGGCTGGGTGTCATCAGTGTCTGAGGCTGGGTATCCATCAGTGTTTGAGGCTGGGTGTCCATCAGTGTTTGAGGCTGGGTGTCCATCTGTGTTTGAGGCTGGGTGTCATCAGTGTTTGAGGCTGGGTGTTCATCAGTGTCTGAGGCTGGGTGTCCATCAGTGTTTGAGGCTGGGTGTCATCAGTGTTTGAGGCTGGGTATCCATCAGTGTTTGAGGCTGGGTGTCATCAGTGTTTGAGGCTGAGTGTCCATCAGTGTTTGAGGCTGGGTGTCCATCAGTGTTTGAGGCTGGGTGTCATCAGTGTTTGAGGCTGGGTGTCATCAGTGTTTGAGGCTGGGTGTCCATCAGTGTTTGAGGCTGGGTGTCATCAGTGTTTGAGGCTGGGTGTCATCAGTGTTTGAGGCTGGGTGTCCATCAGTGTTTGAGGCTGGGTGTCATCAGTGTCTGAGGCTAGGTGTCATCAGTGTTTGAGGCTAGGTGTCATCAGTGTTTGACACTGGGTGTCATCAGTGTTTGAGGCTGGGTGTCCATCAGTGTTTGAGGCTGGGTGTCATCAGTGTTTGAGGCTGGGTGTCATCAGTGTTTGAGGCTGGGTGTCCAGCAGTCAATGCTTATGGGTTTCATCAAATTATGAAACATCCACACTCTTTATCTGTGATATAACTGAAATACTGTTATTTTAATACAGTATAAAACTCACTTACTCACTACTGTGAGACGCATTTTGTCTAGTGATAATAATTCTTTAGTAAATTCATATCTTCATATAAATCCTAAAATAGACACAATATTGTATATAAACCTCACAAGCAGAAAAGCAATAATTAGTTCTTTGATTTTGATCACAATGCTTCTGAATTCAAGGGAGATCACTCTCAGTGGTTGTCTTCAGACAACCTTGATGACAGTCTTGCCTCTGGAGTGACCAGTGGCTATCTTTTCAAAAGCCTTCGGGACCTCCTCAAACTCAAACACTTTTTCTACCACAGGCTTGATCTGCAAAAAAACATTTCAGTGATGTATTACTACATAGTAACTAGTATCAGGTGTGACAGTGGCTCAAAATATTTCAACCTAACAGCCTGCGGTTAAAACATTTTCATAGATGACAGCTGTTTTTCAAATCATCAGAATATAGAGAGAAGATTTATGACAAACTCTAAAGGTGGCTATACTCGCTTGAGAAGATCCCCACCTGAACATCCACCCAGTCTTGATCACTCTGTGTACAGTGTGCACCCTAGCTCAAAACCCTGGATCCCCACCTGAACACCCACCCTCTCTTGATCACTCTGTGTACAGTGTGCACCCTACCTCAAAACCCTGGATCCCCCACCTGAACACCCACCCTCTCTTGATCACTCTGTGTACAGTGTGCACCCTACCTCAAAACCCTGGATCCCCCACCTGAACACTCACCCTCTCTTGATCACTCTGTGTACAGTGTGCACCCTACCTCAAAATCCTGGATCAACCTCTGTTAAATACTGTAAATCATGAAATTAATGCAAAAAGTGCAAGTGTCCATTTCTCAGATTAATAAAGTGTCACATTCATATCTGAAGATACTGCAGTAGTGCATTGTCATTTAGGTTTACTGCAAATACAAATGTAGGCAGAAACAAGGACATATGTAAGGCTTAAAAAAAATAAAAGAATTGGTTCTCAGGCAATGACTTTTGAAAATTTAGTGAGGGCGGGCGGTGTTTTTTTTGCTTCTTCAAAATAGTATGTAACCAGATAAACAGTTGTGTACCATCAACCTGGGAAAGGGCCTCCCTACACAAACAAGCATACAAACTCCTATTGCTGCAATGACCATAACACCAGATGCGAGTAAAGCATGTAAAGGGAAGTAACTGCGAGCTATATATGGATCACATTTTCTTTTGTATTAGGATTTTTAAATTGTTTTTGTTTTTTAAAGATGGACCAAGACAACTTTTTTTTAGCCTACCAAAGCTCTAATATACAATGTAATCGAGCTCTAGATTTAGACAATGCTTCTCGCCAACCTCTGCATCAAATGTGATCAGTTTGTTTACACGAGTTGATCAAGCAGTTATGACAGTCGCCATCCGTGTATGACAGCGTCTTGTTCCTGGAAACCTTGTCAAATAATCTTACAAGTAAAATACTGCTCAACCTTCTCACATTTTAGGTCAAGGGTCAAACTTATATTGATAAAGTAACACATTCATTTCACAATTTACAGTATTGATCTAACAGTTGCTTACATAGACAATGTGTTTGACACAAGGCACTAATTACAATGTCTAGTGAGTGAGTGAGTGAGTGAGAGAGTGAGTGAGTATCGTTTTACGCCGCTTTTAGCAATACTCCAGCAATATCACGGCAGGAGACACCAGAAATTGGCTTCACACATTGTACCCATGTCTGGAATCGAACCCAGATCTTCGGCGTGATGAGCGCACGCTTTAACCACTAGGCTACCTGACCGCCCCTTTTACAATGTCTAGAGCAGAGAGATGAGAAACACAAATTGATGTGGAATATTGGATTGCCTCTGTGGCGAGAGCGTGTCCTACCCTGAAGTACAGTACCCAATCTGTCCGGCAGCCATTATACCCCCAATCCCCAGCACAGATGCTGGAATACACTTCGAGGTCAGTGTCGGAGTTGGGCTTAACATCGCTTTTAACAGTTTTGTTTGTTGATTTACACTGCATTCAGAAATATTCCCGCTAAACGACAGCAGTCTAAAAATGACTGGACCAGACAATCCAGTGATTAACATCATGAGCATTGATCTACACACATTGGGATATGATGACCTGCATCAACCAAGTGAGTGAGTCTGACCAACCGATCCCATTAGTCAGCTCTTACGACAAGCATGGGTTACTGAAGACCAATTCTAACCCAGATCTTCACTGGGGGCTGTACACTTCATAGTCATAAACTTTCTTGGCAATTTGAATGAGGAAAGCCCACGTGACTCCCATGAAACTCACGAACTGTTCTCAGAGCTAATCTGGGATTTAAACCTGATACACAAAGGCCACATAGAATATGCCCAGGGCCCCATTCCACAAAGTGATCTTAGTGTTATGACTGTCATAAGTCTATGTTGAAGTATGGGAGTTACAATTGTCTTAGCACTACAATCACTTTGTGGAACGAGGCCCTGGGATCCAAGGGTCGACCTACATCGGAGTTGTCCACCATCTCAGCCACTTTTCTCAGAGCCCGACCATTAGGGACGAACACAGCCCAGCGATAGCTTCGGCCATCTTTGAAACCCTGTGAAGGAAATAATTTTGAAATACTTCCTATTAACAGAAAAACACATAATGACACCATGACATGTATACCAAAACACAGAATCATAAATTAGTGTACACTGATTTGACAATACATTTTTCAAGAACCAATGGTTTCTGGTGAATTGTTCATTTTTGAAGGGAGCATCCATTTGATTTCTGTGGGGTCGGTAGGAAGATTATTTATATGAATAGTTTGTCCAGAAATATGCCCAAAATGAAGTTTCTTGGCAGTCATGAAAAAATAAATAGATTGTTTTGTGCAATACACCTGTCATTTGTTTTAATTAATAGTCAAAATGAATGAGTGAGTGAGTGAGTGAGTGAGTGAGTGTGAGTGAGTGAGTGAGTGAGTGAGTGAGTGAGTGAGTGAGTGAGTGAGTGAGTGAGTCCGCCAGGTTTTGCCCTGTTTGCAGAGATGATCTATAACACACAGAACACTTCAGCTGTCTGTACTTTCCTTACCCCAGTGACATCCTTGAAGATATCAACTGCAGTCTTCACAGAACCTTTAACCAAACCATAGGCGTCAGCATTCCTCAGAAATGGCGTCACCAGCGAGATGTATTTGGCATTCTTATATTTGGTCAACAGATCCAGGGAAAAGTTTGGCGTCTCGCCTCCAAGAGTGTCTAACACTACATCGAACCTGAAACACATCCACAAATAGTAGTCACTTCGTGTATTGAAGAGAAGATGAGTAGTTGAGTTTAACGTCGCTTTTAACAGTATTGCAGTTATATCTTAGCGTGTCAGCTTAATGTGGGAAGAAAGCCAGAAATGATGCAAGTCTCCGACGTCACAGACCACTTTGGTAAATCAAGCACGGGTATGGTGCTGACAAACAGGGAATCGAACCCACAAGCATAGGTTTCTGGCGTGCCCAAGAGAATATTTCAAGTTGACCTGATAATTTGATGTTTGACAGAATGTTTTACAAGAGTAACTGACTCTGGAGAAGAAAGACCAGAATTCAACTGAGCACTGAACCCTGCTGTTCTAACATTCATACTGTTCTTTTGGGTAAATCAATCACTTTTTAAAGTAAATCCATCACTTTTTAAGGTAAATCAAGCATTTTTCAAGGTAAATCCATCACTTTTTAAGGTAAATCAAGCATTTTTCAAGGTAAATCCATCACTTTTCAAGGTGAATCAAGCACTTTTCAAGGTAAGAACAAACACCCGATTTCAAGGTTTGCTTTCTTTATCCAAGAATTAGCCAAATGAAAGTGTAGATGAATTACTTGCAATTTCAACGTAATCACTTCAAGAGTTTAGGAGCATCAGGTTTCCCTGAACAGTTTGTCATGGTACTTTACCCCATCATATAGATATCCATCCTCCCGAGGCAAGGGTGTTAACTGACTATAAAAGCCCAGTTTCCACCCTTGCCGAACTTGGCTGGTATTATGGAGTTACATTTTGGCTGGACTAACGAGTCTATGCATAGTCCAATCAAAATCACGCACCGAAATCGAAATCTGGTTCGTAAACTGTCGTACAGATTTCGATCGATTGCAGGATTTGCAAAGCATTTGCACCGCTAACTCGTTGTCAACAGATATTTTCTAAATCTTTTCATATTTTTAATCAAGGTGCTCACGTGATTTGATGCATTTCACGATGTAAGACACGTTTTATCACAATATAGATCTTGATTATCGATCAGATTGTCTTGACTGGGCGCCGCCGTTTTGTTTGAAACAAATGCAAGTGATATGAGAGGTGGAATCTGATTGGTTCATAAGAGAGGCATAGAAGGGACATAATTCATAATAGCCACTGGTGGCGCTCCGATCAAGACCAGGAATTCCAGCCTAGTTCGGCAAGGGTGGAAACTGGACTTTTAAAGTCAGTTAACTCTCTTGCCTCGCGAAGATGACAGATATCCAGATGCCTAAACACAGTGCCCTATTTCTGACCTCCATTGTGTGGACCAACTTGTAGCAACTGTAAGCCTATTTTTATAACAATCCCTGTAATTCACTAAAAATATATACCCATCTGAGTCTGCTTGTGGCTCCCTCCCCGGGAAGCCATTTTTGTTTGCAAAATTTAGCATTGTGAAAAAGGAGCTATTTTTTTTACCAAGCAGGCACGACGGCTTCTCAATTGGCATCTACCAGTATGCTCGTCACACAAGCTTTTTTACAAATGTATCTGTCGGTAAGTGAATTTCGCAACCAGCTGATAAACAATCATTTTATCTTATAGTTGTAACATACGCATTAATTTTATTTCAATAGTGTATTTATAGTTGTTCTTGTGTATTTGATACACTAGGATTCGATTTGTCTGTGTATTTCAGTTTATTTAATGCATATTTTACGCAAATACACAGCTAATCTCAAGCGCTAGTGATAAGACGTACTTGTCGAGTTTCTGCAGCTCGGCTTGTACGTCCTGTGTCTTGTAGTCAATGACGGTGTTAGCTCCCAGGCTTGTGACGAACTCTACAGCATCCGTACTGCAGGTCGTCGTTACGTCCGCACCCCACGAACTCAGTAACTGTGTGTACACATGAACTTTACATTACACTGAACTGACACATCGACATATTATCATCATTATAGGCAAAATAATTATGATTACACTTACAAAAATATCAATTATATGATAAGTTCATAAATATGGTTTTTGGTGAGTTTTCAAAAGATATACTCAAAAAAAGAAATAAGGGAACACAACAAAGAGCAATAGGTGTGGTGAAATGGGGTTTAACGTCACGTTCAAGATTTTTGCACTCATATATTGATGTGCATACCTGTGTACTTGCTGTGGATCTCATTATTATATGCAAACTTAGTATAAATATTATACCATGATAACTAAACGATAATTGGACTAACGATTCTATGCATAGTCCAATTAAAATCGTGTAATGAACTAGACATTCAGTTCGTAAACAAAATGGATTTCAACATGCAGATATCAGTCGACTGCAGGAGTTGCATGTGTACCGCTTACAAACAAAGAGCTCACGTGATTTGATGCACTTCGCAAAGAAAGACCCGTTTTATTACAATATAGATCTTGATTATCGATCAGATCATTTTGACTGGGTGCTGCCATTTTGTTTGAAGCTAATGCTTCAGAAGAAAGATGGACTATGGTTGGTCAGTATGAGGGACATAGTGAGTGAGTGAGTGAGTTGGGTTTAACGCCGCTTTTAACATTATTCCAGTTATATCGCGGCGTGTCAGCTTAATGTGGGAGGAAAGCCCAAAGTGATGCAGGTCTCAGACGTTTACCACTTCGGTGAAACCCACAAGCACGGGTATGGTACTGACAAACCTAGAAACATAATCAGGGTTGAATCGGGATTCGAACCCACAATCATAGGTTTCTGGCGTGTCCAGGGGACGCAACTCTGCATAGTGAATCGCGGCGCCTTAGACGACTGGGCCACCCATGCCCCCATGAGGGACATAGAAGGGACATCACTCGTTATAGGCACTGGTAGTGTAAACCTGTTCACTTGTTTCTCTCCATCAGTGTAACTCTCACAATATCATCACTATATGACAACTGTGTCATTAATTGCATCATTTGTCTATCTGTTCATCTGCTTCAATGTGTTGTTTCATAGGACTATGTACAGGTGACTTACCTGTATAGAAAATGTGCCTATTCCTCCAGAACCAGCATGAACTAGGATCCTGAAAATCAATACATAGATGGACTTGATAATACTTGGTCATGAGGTTGAAGTGAACAGAGAATCATTCTAAACAAAACAGACACCATTACATCAAAGTGAATTGCTTGAGAAGCTCTCCCGAAGGTGTGCTTTGTTATAATGGTGACAACTTTATACAAATAACATTACAGGTACCTTTGATGATTAAGATTATATAACAATATTCTATATTCTTAGCAGGGTTCGAAATTAAATTTCTTTCAAGTGTGCCAATGGCCACAGTTATGCCAAATTAAGTGTGCCATCACATTTTTAGATGTGCCAGGAAATACATTGGCTTCTAAATAAGATTGGCTTCTAAATAAGATTTCATAAAACCCACTTACCTTTTTTATTTTCATTGTTTACGTAATCGGAAAGTTATTTTAAAAAGAATTATAAATAGTGTCTGTCATCACCCATTTCCCAATAACAGCGGCTGTCCGCTCAGTAATATGAAGAAATAACTCCATTTCTGAAGCTTCGTACGAATAACACGTTCGTCGCAGACTGCCATGTAACACACCGATAGAAAGCTTATTTCTTCAGCTAAATAATAGTGGATGGAGTCTTTTCATAGCTGAAGCGTGCGACTTTTTTGGATAAAAATTTGTTTCTAATGACTCTTTCTTGCCGAAATCTGCTACATGGTCATAATTGGTCAAATTTGATCATGTGAACTAAGGCAGCCAATCACATTACAGCAATGGTACCGTCCTTGTGTATGATGAATTTCTGATTTTGACGATAGGTTCAATCATGTTATTCTGAACATTTTAAGCAGGAAATCGCGATCAATATTGAAAATAAGAACTTCGTAGATGTATTGTGGTCAGTTACGAGCTGTGACAAAAAATTGTCATGCATATATTTTGGCAGTAAACATCATGTCCGAGCCGAGAAATTGAGGTGACGAAAGCCAAGATGTCATTTGACTTACATTACACGCGATCGCACGAAAGACGGAAATAATAACTTAGATGAAAGTTTGACAACTCTTAGATATATTTTTGTTGATTTTATTTATTACTTTGTATAACATGTTCAAAGATTTGCTTGAAACGTCTATCCTTTGCTCTTTGACATTTTCGATGTGGACCCGTTGTTGAAATGTGTGTCCGAGAATTATATTTTCAATAACACTACGGTAAATAGTGAATAATCTTTAATCTATGAAAAAAATGATAAATTGAAATGGAATACGTATTTCAGACATTGTGAAATGTGATAGATTTTATAAATGAATGGGATGACAGATAGGTTCATAAAATTATATACTATTTTGACATGACTATGGCTTGGCCGGTCTACTGGCCAGCAGTGTCTGGGGACTTGAGGCTTCTTGGCCAGTGTTGAAAGTTAAGTGTGCCAAAGGGGCAGGCAGGTAAGGAATTCACCGTGCCATTACAGTTTTAGGTGTGCCCTCGGCATGATGGCACTAATAATTTTGAACCCTGTTCTTAGATATTGTGCACCAGCAAAACAACTGACAATAATGCATCCAAGTTCTCCTCAAAGACAATTTGTCTTATAGGTTACTTATAGGTTAGTTCTTTCCTGATAAAAAACCCAACACTGTTCGGCCTAAAAGAAGGAAGTCAGAAACTCGAAAAAATTTGACACTAATTATACAGGCTGCTACATGATGAACACATGTCACTTCTATTTCCTTTAAAACCATCTAGAATTACAATTTGATGGATTAATGGGCCCAATGGGCCCTAGGTTTTGAGTAATTTCTCTGACCATTTATGTCAACTTTTCCAAAAGTAATTGTCTGGATGACAGGTTTCTGGTACATAGGGTTCTGGGGTTTCATGGGAGCAGTGGGGTAAGTGACCCTGCCCATCTTCAAAGTTACCTACCCACATTCAGACATTATAAATATTGAAAAATTGCAAAAAATAAGAGACAAATTCCGCCGTGATTCAATTCAGCTGAAGTCATGCAAACAATTACTTGAGAATGTACAAGGAGTGATTATAAAACTGCAAAGGTCTTAAAATTATCTGCCAGACAGTCGGGCAGGTGGATGAAAATTTCATGCAGCCCGACTGAAAAGTTACCAGCCATGGACAGGTGGGCAGGCAGTTATTTCAGACACTGCATGGTAGCATGCTAACATTCTTACAAGAGCTATGTTTGTTTGTTTGTTTGTTTGTTTGTTTGTTTGTTGTTTAACGCCACACTCCAGCTATATTCCAGCTTTATGACGACGGTCTGTAAATAATCAAGTCTGGCCCAGACAATCCAGTGACTGACATCATGAGCATCAATCCCAGAATTGGGATCGATGTCAGGCATCAACCAAGTAAGCGAGCCTGACCACCCGATCCCGTTAGTTGCCTCTTACGACAAGCAGAGTCGCCTTTTACAGCAAGCATGGGTTGCTGAAGACCAACTCTACCCCGGATCTTCACGGGTCACAAGATCTATGTGTGATATGTACAACAACACAGTGTAACCCGAACCTTTTCCCTGCAACACTGCTCTCCTTGAGCTCCCCCACCTCACACAGCGCTGTCCATGAGGTCACAGCCACATAGGGAATGGACGCCGCCTCAAGATGGTCCAGCGTCTTTGGTTTCTTGGAGATCTGAACAATCACAGAGTAGGACATCAATTGACTTTTTGTCAAGCAAAGTTCAGAAGCGACAGGTCAGTTTCAGGTAAAATACAAAGAATCATGAATGTATTCATAAACTGTAAATATAAGTCATGGAAGAGAAACAAAACAAACATTTATATCATTAACCACAAACTACACCCATGCAGTCCTGTCAGGTAACCTCATTTGAAAAGTTCATAACACCAAGTTGATCGGATTAGTTTAATGTTTCAATAACTGTGTACATTGTTTAACTCCATGCTCAGAAAAACACCAGTTACATGAAGGCAGCCTGTAAATAATCAAGCCTGGACCAGACAATCCAGTGACTGATATTGGTATGTTGACAAGCCATCAACGGCAGACTCCCCCCCCCCCCCCCCCCCCCATCCTTTTGGTAGACTCTCACAGTGAGTGGGTATAGTTGTACGCCACTTTTAGCAATATTTCAGAAATGGGCTTCACACATTAATTATACACATGTGGGGAATCAAACCCGGGTCTTTGTTGTAATGAGCTAACGCTTTAACCACTAGGCTACCCCACCGCCCATTACAGCCAGCATAGGTTGCAGGGGACATATTCTTACCCCGGAATCCTCAATTTGAAAACTCCAATCATAACAAAAGGAAACCCACACAATAAACAAATATATCCTCAATTGGTGATGGGCGCAGAAGCCATGGTGCTCAGAAACAACAGCAAATAAAATATCCACAGGAACATAACAGAGTCCCCTTTATTTTTTTGTATTCAGGACTTCCCTTTTATATTTGTTTTCAAGATACAGAGAAAATGGTTTGGATTATGCATAGACTCATTAGTCCAGCCAAAATATAACTCCATAATTCCAGCTTAGTTCCGCAAGGGTGGAAACTGAACTTTTACAGTCTGTTGACTCCCTTGCCTCATGAAGAGCGGGCATGGTGCTGACAAACCTAGAAACATAACTGGGACAGGATTTGATCATAGGATAAGGAACGCAACTCTGCACAGTGATTTACAGCGGCTTTGACAACTGAGCCATTGAAGCAGAGTAAAAGATTTGATAATATAGACACTGAGTGTAACTACCTCCTTCTGCGACGTGACCAGTAGCTGTGCATGGGTCCCCTGTCTGTGTGCTCCCACAGCTCCCCATACCTGCAACATGTACATCAATACAGCTGTCGGATTGACTCTTTTGTCAGTGAAATCAACATATTATCAATGGCAAAAAGTCAAACCTTTCAGAACTTTTAAATATTCAGTGTTAACATGGTAGGAGTTTCTACCTTGAATGTTGGATAGAATTCAAGCAATCTTCCAGTGGTTCATCCTCTATATCTCCAGGGCTCGCATTTCGGTAAACCTACACTAACCTCTGGATCGATTCCCGTGGTTCTCGTGATATTAAATTACCCTGGATATATAGAGGAGGCCAGTGGCTTCATCTGACCAACCAGGTTTAATGCTTTTACTAGGGATTCCCTGCAGTCAGTATTTTTCACATACAGATATGGTAACCTGTTTTTTTTAAACAAACAAACAAACACATTCCGAACAACCCAGTTTATTATTCGAAAATATATATGTAATAAAACATAAAAAGTTTAGGAATTTCATTTGTTGACGGACTATCATGATCCATCTTCCCGAGGCAAGAGAGTTAACTGACTTTAAATGTCCAGTTTCCAGCCAGGACTATGCATAGACTCGTTAGTCCAGCCAAAATGTAACTCCATAATACCAGCCTAGTTCGGCAAGGGTGGAAACTGGACTTTCATAGTCAGTTAACTCTCTTGCCTCGGGAAGATGATCATGATCATGTTTGAAAGAATAGAATGTTATTGACTGGTGTTCTTGTTTCCTATTATTACACAAAATGCTGCAGGGAATAACAAATGTTCGAGTAAGCATCCCACCTGATCTCCAGGTTTGAAGTCAGTGACAAGTTTCCCTGTCTCCAGCACCACCCCAGAGAAGTCTCGACCCAGAGTCAGCGGGAACTCACTCCCCGACTTTGGTTTCCCGAGCATCTTCCTCATCACATTAAGCATCACCTCGCCATAGCCTCCTGCAACAAACACAACAGAATGACAAACAGTTAATTCAGTCCCAGCAACTCTGTGCCACAGTGCCAGCCCAATGAGATACCATGACACAGTTTAACATGAATACCCCACTCAGTCACAGTATACTGACTCCGAGCCAACCAGTCCTTGTGTTAGCCCCTTAATGCCAAGCGTCAGGCAGGGTAACAACAAGAACCATCTTTTAACACCCTTTGGTATGATGCTCCCGGGGTTGGAACCCCTGACCTTCCTTTCTCCAGGAGGACACCCTACCAGTAGACCGGAGGCAGTCTCACACATAAGCAATAAGTGCTAAGTACAATAATCGTTTATAACAACATAAAACCCCATCTTTTAACATCTATTGGTGTGAAGTAGCCTGACGATGGAACCAGTGACCTTCCAGTGACACAATGCGGGGAGATGACCACTTATTTTAGAGTAGACCTTCAATATTTACAACTAAAATCATATATCTGAACTATATCCATAAATAATAGTTGGGATTGGAAAGTCCTACCTCTCATCCGAACATCAATAGGGTTAACACTTGCAGCATGAACTTCAATCAGCAGTTCGTCTGGGCTGTGAATCGTGGGAACCTTCGCTGTGTGGGAGAGGGTGAACTCCTCGTTGCCTCCATACTGGTGAATCTGCCATGCAGACATACTGGACCTGGTGCTCTTGTGGACAACTTGATTATGCTGATTTGAGATTTGGGATCTTAACTTTGTCATGTGCAATATGCGTACACTTTCAGCACATTTCCGACAAAATACTGCCCTCATTGACTGCATCCTGTGTGGTTCTCCTGTAGGGTTTCCTCACTTATGAACTGAAACATAAAGTCTCATGACAAGACTGATAACACGAAGACATAGAAGCCTATTGCATCATGGCCTGTCATTGGGGATATTTATCTGAATGGGGGAATAATTATAATTAAAGTTTTCATTTGTTGATTTGTGGTGACGTTCCTGAAAGGAAATACTGAAAAGAGATGGAAATGATTGACATCACTAATGTTTGGCCTTCGCCAATGATGTGACCTGTGGTGACCAGAGACACAGGATCGATACCGGTCCCCGGTGTGACCCAAAGAAAAAGATGTTAGTTGTAAATGCCTTCTGTGACAATATGATGCATATGAAGCAAAGAACTATACACAAGAAACCCAGAGAGAAGACAGTAAAAATGACAGTTAAAACACGTTTGATTACGGATTAGAAGAAGGTCGTTCTCCCTCCGCCCTCAGCAACCTGACTGAACAAATTTGGTAGTTATCTGCCCTTGAATGAGGGAATGGTAACCGGGCCGAAACGGAATCACTCGCCGACGTTTTTAAGAAAATATATCAATTCTAAATTAATTTTATTGAGGTAATAAAATGGTGCTAGACGTTAATATAATTCCTATAATAACGGAGTGATATAAGCTAGCGCCGAGCCTTGATAATATACAAACTGGAAAAGATACCATTAGTCCGGATTTTAATCGAACAAAATGGCTGTTCGCTAGATGCTGTAACACTTTTGCAACACGTGCACGTAGATATTTCCGTCTACAAACGCTGTGCGTGAAAGAGAAATAATGGAGTCTATAGAAGATATTATGAAAATGGATAAGGAGCAACTGTCGGAGCCTATCCGCACTGTCAAGGTATCGACATGGAATACTATGTTTTTTGGCTACCCCCCTTCTGGTTCCAAGCAACGTTCCTTGTCGTACAAGGCGACGAAATGGATCGTGTGACCAGGCACTGGCTTGGTTCATTATGTCTTCCTACCCCAACGGCGAGGGAAATTGATCATTATGTCAGTTACTAGTTTGTCTGGTACAGACTATTATCAATGGCCCGCCGCCATTTCTTAGACCAAGTAGACCCCACTGCACACTAGTCTGCCATACCATGCTAAATTAAATTATTTGCATACATTAGAGAGAATGGCAAAAAGTAGATTTTTACATATGGTTGCCATGGAAAGCAAATCTGATTTAAAAAAAAACATGTTGAGAAATGTTTTGAGAAACAGTCTGAATTTGGGTATGGTGGTCCAAGGAAAGTTAAACCATTCTACACCTATTGCTATTGGAGAATAAAGCTAAATAAGTTCTAGCAGGCCCAGGTGGACAGAAGGACAGTGTTTTGGACAATTTGTCAGTGTCACTTACCCTATTGCTAATAAGTAACACCTCCACTGACCTTTTCAGATTTTAAAAGAATAAAACAAAGACGGACGCCTCAGAGTTAGTATACTGTGTCTGAGTGAGGCTTCTATGCAAAATTGCGGCATGGTATCTCAGGTGGATATAAAACTGGCATAAGTTTGAACTAGTACAAGCGGACACACACACACACACACACACACACACACACACACACACACACACACACACACACACACACACACACACACACACACACGTGAATGCACGTAACCTTATAAGTGCAATAATCTTGAACATGTTGAATGCACAGCGTTAAACACAGGGTCACCTCACTTCTTTTTACCCAGGAACTGCTACTACATTCCAAACATACCACCCTTATTTATTCAAATAAATTAGGATGTTCAATGTGTAATTCAAATTTCTGAACTCCAGGACAAGTGGAAACTGCTTCCTGCCTTTCTCAAAGTGAAAGGTCTTGTCAAGCAGCACATTGATTCATTCAACTACTTCATCAATGTTGAGGTAAGTGTTCATCAACTACATAGATGCAATATTTTTGTGAGGTGAGACCCAAATAAACAATCTTTCTGCAATAAGTACAAGCTCTGATCTCTGATGACTGTGTCATGTGTTATGAATTCAGTATAAAATATTTCCAGGCTTTGAACACCCATTTGACAACATTTTTCAACAAATCAGATTTCAGTACACACTCTTCCAGTTGTTCTATACATTTGCTTCAATGATATTGTTTTCAGATTAAGAAGATCATGAAGGCCAATGAGAAAATCACATCTGATGCTGATCCCAACTTCTATGTCAAGTGGGTTTTTTAGCTCAACTGGACATGCTGGAGGACCAAGTCCAAATATGTCATAGTTTTCATCAAAATAGTTTTGCTTTATTTACTATTATAATTTACTTAATTAATGCTTTTTAATTTGCTCCATTAAAGATGGAGGTTTTGAGACAAGGAAGTAAATTCAAACTAGTTTCGTTATATTTGCTGATAGTGGCTCTTGGCTCCAGTCAGTTGACTTGAAAATGAAATAAAATCTCACTATACATGGTCCTACAATACTCAACATATGAGCAGATATCCTGTTAAACTTTGTGAAACAATTATGACAGCATGAACGAAGACTGGTAAACATATCTATCCCTCTCTAGAATGTCAAAATTTTGTTCTATTTATTATGTACCTGGTATGTAATTATAAGCAATATGGAGACTTCGTTAATTGAGTAGTTTGTTTGAATATTTGATCATGTTTACAGGTACCTGAACATCTATGTTGGCATGCCTGATGTAGAGGAGGGGTTCAACATCACAAAGCCAATATCTCCACATGAGGTCAGTATACTGGTTTTACCAATGTCCCGTATACAGCATTAAGGGGGCTCCTAGAGTATTTGAATCTAGGGACACCCTAAATCTTTCACATTTAATGTTAGAGCAATGACAAGGAACAGCCAGGTCCCTGCTACAGCTTAAGTTTAAACACTGATGTCGAAATAATGAAAGTTAAACTTTGTTGATTTCTTTCAGAATCAGTTGAGTGAATGGTTAGCAATACTCCAGCAATGTCAAAGCAGGGGACAAGAAACTGGTTTCTCACATTGTGGGCTAGCCATGTGAGGAATAGAACCTGGGTATTTCTCCATGACAAGTGAATGCTTGAACCACTTGGCTACCTCAAAGCTGTGAAATCATGCCTATGACTGTTCTGCTGTTACTGGGGCAGTCGGGTAGCCTAGTGGTTAAAGCGTTCGCTCGTCACGCCGAAGACCCGGGTTTGATTCCCGACATGGGTACAATGTGTGAAGCCCATTTCTGGTGTCCCCCGCCGTGATATTGCTGGAATATTTTGCTCAAAGCGGCGTAAAACCATACTCACTCACTCACTCACTCTGCTGTTACTATCCGACATCTACTTGTTGCTAATACGTAACTACTGTTCACTCCTTCACAAAATTCAACACAATTATGCACCAGCTTCTTCAAGCTCTGTCAACGTGCATGTTAGAGTGAGAGTATGGTTTAACACTGCTCTTAGCAATATCACAGCAATATTATGGTAGGGGACACCAGAAATGGGCTCACACATTGCACCCATGTGGGGAATCGAATCCGGGTCTTCGGCATGATGAGCAAAACGCTTTTACCACTAGGCTACCCAGTGCCACCCTCATTAGACAATATCGTGGAACTTTTTATATCCACTTGTCCTCAAACCATTTGACTTTTAATTACAAATATTTCAATTGAAAATGTAATTTATTAAAAGTTGTAAACCTATGAGCAGGAAGAATTCAAGTTAAAAGTAGTAACCATGGTAACAACTGCTGAGGGAGGAAACTACCTCTTTGTGTTTTTAGACTACATTAATAACGAACTCAAAGGGACCGCAAATGTTTGTTCATTATAACCGTTGTTTGTTATAAGCAAATATGCAACGTTTGCACAGCCTGGACCAAAAAGACCAGTCTGTTGTGTCCGTCAGTTCGTTATAAGTATGTTCGTTATATAGCTTTGTGAAGGTTGGAGCAGAATTTCAGTATCAGACTTATTAGAATGTTATGAAGGCATGAGTTGTATAAGTTGGATATTAAAAGGGAGTAGTACTCATTTCTCGGCTACCTTGATGCTACCAGAGAGGTATAGTGAAGTTTGTCACGTGAAGGTCTTAATTTGACTTGTCATGATGATTGCACTGTTTCAGTGTCGCCTGCGGGACATGACCTACTCGGCACCCGTCACCGTGGACATCGAGTACACACGAGGGAACCAGAGGATCATTCGGAACAACCTGCCCATTGGCAGGTAAGTGTGACTAGGGTAGTCACGTAGATGTGATACACCTACCGATTCATGATTTATTTCTGTATCAGTTTTCAGAAGTTAATAGTTTTTAAGTTTTCCCAAACCCTCCTTTAAAACTTCGTACTTCGGATAGTGTTACCTTACCGCCCACTACAAAACAAAATGCTGCCTGTGATGTGCATGTTTTTTTAAATAGACTGCCTATGGTCTAGTTGAGAGCGGAAGCATAGAGTTGAAGATCCCAGGCCACATCATACCAAAAGATGTTAAAAGATGGTACTTGTTGTTTCCCTGCATTATGGGATAAAACGAGGACTGGTCGCTATGTAAGTGAAATAGTCTTGAACGCGACATTAAACCCGATTTGACCTGACCCTTTGTTGCAGTAATCAGATTTGTTGAGTTCACATGACATTCGACTATTTCATTGTCCAGAATGCCGATAATGCTGAGGAGTTCCAAGTGTGTGCTGAATGGGAAGAGTCCGGCGGAAATGGCCAAACTAAATGAGTGTCCAATGGATCCCGGCGGCTACTTCATCGTGAAGGGCGTGGAGAAGGTCATCCTTATACAGGAGCAGCTGTCCAAGAACAGGATGATCGTTGATATCAGCAACAAGGGAACGATCGAGTGCTCCGTTACAAGGTGAGGAAGCATATCATGGGAACACCTTTCTATGTCAAGTTTTAATAGGGATATCTTTAGATGCTGCTGTTTTCAAGGTTGATGTAATAATATAACATTCAATATAAATATTATTCAATATAACATTTAAACAAAAACCAGATGTTAAAAATATTTTCAAGCAATTTGTTTTTTGCTGTTGCAAATAAGAATGTAATTGTAAGCTGGCACAAATAATTATTATATCATTTACCAGTACTTGTATGCTTGCTATTTTCCTACTAACGGGGCACAGGTGGGACAGTCGTCAAAGGTGCTGCAATTCACTGTGCAGAGTTGCGCTACTTGGGCAGGCCAGTAACCTGTGATTGTGGGTTTCACCGAAGTGGTAAATGTCTAAGACCTGCATCACTTCAGGCTTTGCTCCCAAATTAAGTTGTCACCTCGTGATATAACTGCAATACTGTTAAAAGCGGCGTTAAACACAACTCACTCACTCACTCACTCACTCACTCACTCACTCACTCCACATAACAGTACGTGTATGAGGTCCTCCCATTGATAAGTCAGAATGTTGTTTTGGTTTCCTCCAGTTCCACCCATGAGAGGAAGAGTAAGACCTATGTTGTTGTCAAACATGGGAAATACTACCTCAAGCACAACACATT